AACCTGACTTGATTTTAAAGCAAAATATAAAGTAAAAAATATAAACATTTAATAAATAAAAATTAGCCAATACAAATGTTGGACGCATTTCCTTTCCATCTTTCCCCACAAAAAGTCGTGTTTATTTGCTTAGTGACATGACTGAGGATCGTCAGCCCTCATGAGGCGTGTGCGTGTGCGTGCGTGCATATGTGTGTGTGTGTGTGCAGGGCTGCGGGAACCCAGGGCCCAGGGCCCACCGTGCAAATGCTTCGTCACCAGGATACATCTCTGGTCCTGTCATAGGTAGTTTCAAACCAGGGATTCTATTAGCAGTTTCCCCCCAATATAAGCATTATTCTTCTGTTGTCTGTTTTTTGGTACCAGGAATCAAACTCATGCTTACTAGGCAGGCGCCGTGAAGCTGCACCCCAGCCTTTAAGCGTTACTCTTTAGCAACCCACCACCCCCACTTCTCAGCAGAGTCAGGGATAGAACCCAGGGCCTCACACAAGCTAGGCAAGTACTGTCCCATGCCACCATTCTTTTGAGACAGGATCTCTCTATGCACTTCAGGCTGTCCTTGAACTCACTTTGTAGCCCAGGCTGGTCTTGAACTCACACATCCTCCTGCCTCAGCCTCTCAAATGCTGGGATTACAGGCATGTGCCACTACGCCTGGCTGACCATGCCACTTTTAAAGGTGGCATAAGGAAACAGCTTCCAGAAAGTGCCAGGTGAATGTAGGTACTTTCATCAACATTTCGGTCATCTTCCATTTGGATATAAATATGACTTCAGTGAAAGTCTTACCTGTCTCATCCTTTATGGAGCTAGGCTTGGAGACAGAAGGGCCACACCAGGAAACCCCTCTTCCTGAGGACTGTGGCTGGTCTCTCCATTCATCTGCTCCCTTTCCGCACAGTAGGGACTTTCCTCAGTGCACACAAGCCTGTCAAGCCCCGGTCCGGGCCAGCACTAACTAGCTTCTAAGCTGTTTGCTGAGAGGGGTGACCCTTCTCATCATCTAGAGATGAGCTACAGGTAGAGCTGCTCATATTCTTTGCCCTTTTCATTTTTTCTACTTGTATCTTCTTTAAGAATTAATTTTTACTGCTTATAATGAAATAAAAGACCACTAGTTAGCCTTTTGTGATGTAGGGGGTGTGATGGCAGCTGGTGACAGTGTAATGCATTAGGCAGTTAAAGCACAATTTTTAGGATTTTCCCACTGCTTTTATGTTTAAAGTCCATTTTTGCTGTGGCATTCATTAATATGTTTGCCAATGTTTCCAGCTTGCTCTCCTCTTGACTAAAGACAACCCATTTTTTTGTTGTTGTTGTTTTGTACTAAGGATTGAACGCAGGGCCTTTCCACTGAGCTACATCCCCAGCATTTTATTTTTGATTTTGAGATTAAGTCCCTAAATTGTGTAGGCTGGGCTCGCAAATTGCTATCTTCTTGCCTCAGCCTTCCAGAGTGTGGAGACTCCAACCATGAGCCACTGTGCCCAGCTTGAAGATGGTTCTCTTCTGATTCTTGTGCTCGCTGAGGCTCTGAGCGAGCAGCAGGCCTGCCATCCCAGCAGGGGGCCCTCAATGACTGATGCTGGTCTGTCCAGCCTGGTGGCCACCAGCCAGTCACAAGAAATTGTTCAGCTACGTACAATGAAAGGGAATTCTTGTGCTCACCAGCCACATCCCAAGTGTTCAACAGCCACGTGTGGCTTGAGGCCTTGTATTGGCTGCACATATAGGAAACATGTCCACCATCAGAGGGGTCAATAGAGTGGTGCAGTCTGAATTCTCTTTCTGACTGAGCAGTTACTCTGGGACCTGGAGAAACCAGGTGAGAAGAGCCTCCCGCTAGTCGGTGATGGCATGAAGCAGGCTGGAAAATAGGCTTTGAAGCCAAAAAACTTGAGGGTTATTTTTTTTTTTTTTAAACTATAACATAAACCGGGCCTACTAGTTGGCTTCATTCTGTTTATCTAGCCCAATTATGATTATCTAGCCCAACAGGGTTTTTCTGGTTTCTGTGGTACTTTCGGTTGAATGAACCCAAAGCCTTGTAAAATACTAGTCAAAAATTTCTTATACTCTCATCACAGTTTTAAATATTAAAAACATTTTCCAGGTGTGATGACACACAATCGTAATCCCAGCACTCAGGAGGCTAAGGCAGGAGGATCACTGGGGGTTTGAGATCAGCCTGGGCTACATAATGAATTGAAGGCCAGTCTGAAATGTGTAGCGAGACCCTGTCTCAAAAAAAAAAAAAAAAAAAAAAAAAAAACCAAGAACAAAACATTTATGTATTTTACGAATAAGGAAAATTTCCAACTACCTTCTTAATTTAACCATGCTTTCTTGCTTATTCTGTAAGGTAGACTCAGATCATTCTCTCTAGATATTCTGTTTTTGCTGGAGTTTTAACTTTTAACTGGGATTATCTTTTGAGACAGGGCATGTAGTGCAGACTGGCCATAAACACACTCAGGTTGCCCAGGCTGGCCTTGAACTCACAGTGATCCTCCTGCCTCAGCCTTCCAACTGTGGAATTGTGTTCAATGAGGATATGCCTCTGGAAGAAATGCCCTGCTGCTATGCCCACCATTCACAACAGGACCCTGGGTGATCTCTCCATCCACCTGTTCCCCAGCAGCTCTCCATGTGGCACTGAGTCAGCAGCGATGGAAGAAAAGGACAACTTTGTGACTTTTATAAAGCAGACGTTAGCAGTTTTATAGAACAGAATTATACTCTACTCTGATACTGTACTCCTCTGCTTTTCTGGTGCCAAAATGGCCTCTCATAAAAACAAAACACAAGCCAGGCACAGTGGTATATGTAGGTGGCCCTCCCTCTGGGAAGCTGAGGCAGGATGGATTGTAAGGCCAAGCTCAACCTGGGTAACTTAGTGAGACGATGTCTCAAAATTGAAAATAAAACAGGGCTGGTGATGCAGCTCAGTGCCAGAGTCCTGTTTTCAGTCCCCAGTACTGGCAAACAAATGGATTTTTTTTGTGTGGTTGTTGCTTGTTCATCAGTGCATAAACTGATAGAATGGATTTCAGAAATTTTTCTCATCATCGAAACCTCAGTCTGGAGTAGTTTCCTTTTTGCAGTGCTAGGGATTGAACTCAAAGCCTCCTCATGCTAAGCAGCGGCTTTCACTGAGCTACAGCCTGCTTGTCTTGTTTGTTTGGGATTTTCCACCGGGGTGCTGTTCTGAATGTGGTCTGTCTTCTTTCTTTGCTCCCTGGTAATATGCAGGGACAGAAAGAGCACAGCTATTTTTGTGTAGAGGTAGGAAATTAGACTGTAACCCCAACGGGGGACAGACAGACGGAGGGAAGTAAGAACATGAGTCAGTCGCTTTGCTTTCTGTCTGGACACAAATCTACTTGCAGTTTCTCCACAGCCTCAGTTGCCTCTTATGCATTGTATGCGCCACAATATCAACACAAGATCACTTTCAATAGATCCTGGGACCTATCTACACTCGGAGAAACTTCCTGGGCATTTTCAAGCCTCAGCGCCTCAGTTTCCAGAGCTGCCAGTCGCTCTGCTCCCTTCTCGTAACCCCAAGACTTGGGACATTTCTGTGGCAGTTCCTCCACTAAATCATGAGGTCATAGAGGGCAGAGGCCAAGCTTCTTTTGATCTGCAGTGGCTGACACAGGGCAGGGCATGAACCAAGGACTACAACCAGCACAGGATATATTTCTATTTTCTTTCCACGAAGGTAGTCAATGCTTTCTGAACTTATGAACAGAAAAAGGCCCCACTCAGATTCTACTATCTTCTTCATTTTACATGGAGGAAGTGGTTCCTGGCGTTCAGTGGGGAAGTTCTGAACCGTATAATCTTGGAGGCTTAATCCGTTTTATCACTACCTACTTGGCTTTTTGTCCCAGGTGTAGACAATGTGTTAAGGATCTCACAGTATGAGAACCTTAAATAGGCACTAATGTGCACATTTAAGACGTATGTACATACACAATATAAAGGGACTTTTAGAAGGTTTTTTTTTTTTAAAAAAAAGTCAGAGCTATTTATTAAAATTAGAGTTCCACATTACATTATGAAATTTCCATTTATGAGTAGCCAGGACTTATAACAAGAAAATGTGAGTTTCAAACCAACAATGATTATGTTGCTATAGTGTGACCCTAACATTTATGGAAACATAAATCCACATTGCAAAAAGGCTTGTTTTAAATTGGCAGCTAGTTTTGAGTAAGATGATTTAGGTTACAGGGGAAAAAAAAGCTATTTGCACTATTTGAGTTTCCAGTTCTCCATTCCAGTGGTCTTGAAACCAAGGTGGCTAGAAAAGTTGCCCGAGAGACTTTACCTATATATCCTCACTCACAGGACTCTAGTCGTGGGGAGGGTGTAGGCTTTGGGATGGACCCAGAATATCCACAAACTCTCCAGGTGGGGCCCCCTGCCTTCCCAGCCTGCCCACAAATAGACCAGCACTTCCTGTGGCTGCAGGCATCTCTTTCAGTACTTTGTTCAGTGACACTGCTGCCTTTCTGAGGAGAGTTCTATTTTTGCCCACGTGCCTCTGGGGTAGATTCTTCCTCCTTTAGGAGAAGGGAGGCAGCCTAAATGAAATAGCAAAATTCAATGGAGGTGGTCTACCTGCACCTACTGCCCAGAAGGTGAGGTGAGAAGCCAGAGAACTGTGGGGATCTAACACAAGCCCTCTGACTGCTTGATCTCAGGCTGTCTTGGCATTTCTATCTGACTGCTTATTTAAAAATAGGCCAGCCTATCCTAGAGACTAGAGTCATCCCTGAGTTTGGCAGGCCTTAAAAAAACATTTCACCAAAATTATTTTAGACAGTCTGGAAACAGAAGCATTTTTCCCATGTGGGTGAGGGGAGAAAGAGACCAAAAATCATCCTGAAAAGGAAATGGCCTTAATGTCAAAAGATCAGGGAGGAATGGGGAAAACCAGAAAACGGAACTTGATACATGTGAAAAAAATTAAATAACTTCTCAACATCTTAACGGATTGAATTTACATTTTACTTTAAAAAAGTGGGAGAGGAGTACATACATAGGAGTGGGGAGCAACAATGGTCTGAGACATATTTCTATGAATTTCTCCTATCATGATCAGTTTTGTCAGTTGGGCAGTATTTTTCCTGCTGGCATACAACTGCTTACAATATGAACAAGGTTATAGACAAAAACTGTCAAAGTTTAGGCCCAATGGAAAGGAGGTAAATTATCATATACAATGTAAGTTTACAATACACAGCATTTTCTGAAAATGATGTAACGCAGTCGTAGGAAGAAGTTAACAATACTAACACGAGAATAATCAAATTTTTGTTATCCATGTACAGCAACTAACTGCTTTACAAAAAAGCAAAATAATACAATATATCATCACATGTATTTACAGTGTAGTAAATATACTTTTCTGTCAAATTTTACACAAACTATTTACAAGTGAATATACTGCATTTAAAAAATGGTGTGGCTGACACTAAGTGAATGTTTGTATAGGTCTGTTGCATAATATTCAGTAAGACATGCCTCATTATGCCTGGTGGTGGGGGCTTGTAAAAGTAGAAACCAAAACCAAAACACAAAACAAAAATTTAAAAAACAATAAAAACAAAACCTTGAAGAAAGCTGAAGATCCCCCAAACACACAAATCAGAAGGGCTGCCAGCTCACTGTCCCTGTCAGTAGGACTTTAGTCCACAGATCAAGGCTGGCTGTCTCGGGTGGTGTGCAGGTGCAGGCATGAGTGACCGCCGGAGGACAGGAGCATCCTGTACTCATGCTGGCGAAGAACAGCAGCCCCAGGACAGGAGCACAACAACATGACCACGTGATTGTTTTCCTCTTTAAAAAGTCAGGGAAAACATCTACAAACCCAAAACAAATGACAGATCTCATACCAAATTATATAATATAGGCTACTTGTTCTAAACTTCAGAAGTTTTCTTAAATTATAAGGACTAAAAAAGTATTTCATTTCTCAGGGGAATAATATGGATGAGGGATTTAGCTTATTCTCATTTTATTTGGAAAGCTTTTTTTCTCAAAAGTCAAAGGTTCTTTAAAGAAGCTAAATTCTAAACCTTAGGTAACTTTTTAAATTTCCAGTACTCATCTGGTCAAAAGTATTTTTGCAGTTGAAAGAAGGCTCAATTTTGATTTGTGCAACGCTGATCATTTCATGAGGTACTTCAAGTGGATCATTTCATTCGGTACACTAGAGGGAATAATCTAAGAAACATTACACTTTCATAAACTTGTTTATCGAAAGATCAATAGTTTTTAACAGTAAACCTTTGGAAGTTTCTCTATTTTGATGGGAGAAGCAAAAATGCATAACCCCCACCATCATATGCACCAAATCAACAAAAAGAGAAAAAATACTGAACCAAAATTTTTAAAGGTTCTCACTGCCTGCTGCTCTTGGAGCCAAGAAGCTGCGCCACCACATCCCAGAAGCGCCTTAACGGGAGCCTGGCGTCCTTGGCACTGTGTCGCTGATCTATTCTAAGTTGCATCTGAGCTTCTGTGCAAGCGCAAGATGCTCAGGTACCAAAACATTTACTCTAGCACAGCCTCTATAGTAATTAAAAAAAAAAACTTAGTGAACTGCACCTGTCTTCAGTATTTTCCAACAAGTTGATGTTTAAATCATTATTAACGATAAGTTTTTTCCCTTTTATTTTGGCAAATGGTTATTTTTCCTCAGGTCTGTAAACAAAATTAAAAAATTAAATTCTTGTTATTTCTGAATATCAAAAGCAATTTTATTTACATTAACATATTACATTGTTACTGTGGGGATAAGTGTAAAATGTGTTATATTATTAATCAGAACACTTAAACGTACCATTACTTACTGAATTAGCTGTGGAATTTAATTTACGGAAATCCACTAATGAACTAACACTACAGGGACCCCTTCTCCCTTTGGTTTATTTTTCCCCTCCCAAAGCCATTACATCATACCATATAAGAGAATGTGGGAGGAGGGGGATATCCTGTCGAAATAAATATAATTTAGTCCTAAATTGGAAAACCCAGATATTAATATGCTTGCAGAAGTAAAAGTTTTTGTGTACTGCAGGTACCACAAAGAAACTCTGCATTACTGTGGAGATCCCTATGCCATGAAAATCCATACCATTTAGTAGAGCAGCAACTCCAACGGTCCCCCATTGTCACACTGAGGCAGGCTGACCAGACTTTTCATAGTGATTAGAGGCAATTCTATCATATAGAATCAAATGTTTCAAGAAATTCCTAATATTTTTGGAGGAGGAGGGAAAGATTAAAGGGTTTTTAAAATACATCTTGTCAAAGAAATTTATGACGACATATAGCACACTGTTTCTTGGAAATTATTTAACAAAATAAACAGCGACTATAAAAATTGCGTACCATTTCCATTTTGCTATGCAGCTAATGCAAACATTTATGAAAATACCTTTCAGGACCAATTTTCAACATTTTGTTTGCTAATTACCCTGCTCGGAATTATTTGGAAAGAAGAGGAACAGGCGCAAAAAAAAAAAAAAAAAAAAAACAAAAAAAAAAAAAACCAAACCCCAATATAATCACTATGCTTAATACAGTTTTGGCTTACACAAACCAAAAAGACAAAAGAACAACACTGTTAGCATATTTAAAGATTAAATGAAAATCAAATGGAGAAAGAAACTAGTGCAGATGAGTGAGTTTGGATAAGGCCTCAGAACCCATAGCTTTAATTCAGTACTGTTAAGATATATGTGGTCAGGTTTATGTTCCCGCAATTATTGCTAATCCTCAAATGTTAGTATTTCTTAGGAGTCTACTACAAAATCCTAGTACCTCCCACCCCCAAAGTACCTTGCCTGTGGCTTTATGGTGTGAAGTCCCTAAGGTGTGAACTCTGTAGTTCCTTCAGTTTCTAAAGTAAAAAAAAGTCCACAGCTAAAAGTCAGATTAAATGTACTGGGGTTATAATATTTCTTACTATTCCATAAACTTCTATCTTGAAAAGTGTGCAAGTAAGATTACAAATTTACTTTGTATGATGAAAAGAAAAACAAACAAGGCAGGGGTCTGTGCAAATGGCTCTCACAGCTGGCCAGCAGTAGCAGTGTTCAAGAATTCATCCGCTCACAGTACAGGGACGCTCTCAGTTCAAGTTTCCTCACCTCCCACTTCCTTTGTAGCTGTTCCAAACACTTGCTTATACCAGATACACACCGAAAGTAGAAAGAAAAGAAGGGGGGAAAGCAGCATTAAATTTAGGCAACGCTTCTGAGAGTTGATCATTTGGCGACACAGCAGATTAGGTGGGTCCCTTATAAAACACGAAGTGCGATGCTGCAACACGTGGGGACAGGGCGCAGTTCAGGCAGGGTCACTAGTGAAGAGCCCACGTTATGCTGGTTTGAAAGCTGAAAGAAAGGAAGCTTCACATGATCTTCTTAATGCTATTACGTTTGAAACTGCCAGCACTTCTTTGCTTCTGCACTTGGCTTGCGGATCCATGGCGAGTTCGTCCACTATTACAGTGGCCAGTGGTAGGGGAAAGTTCAACGTTCTCCTTGTCGATTCCTGGAGAGAAACACAGCAGCCAGTTACTCCCTCTCTTTTAGTGCAAAGCTCCAGGACTGAAGCTCTTTATCTGTGGGTGAGATACAATCTGGCGAACTGATATCCATATTTCACTTTAATAGACAAACATGAGAATGCTTTAAAGGCCCTGTCACACAGAAAACTGGTACTCTGCTAAGCCAAATTTACTAATCATTGCAGAAATACAGCATAAGAAAGAAGAGAAATTGCAAAGAAAAGCTAGAGGCAGGCAGGTTTGAAAAATTAGGGAAGTCTAGATAATGCTCCTTCATCCAAATTATACCAGAAGCACCCAGCAGAGGTCAGTTTCTAGCCACACATCTTAATCCTCAGAAACAAAATACACTCTCCAGCAGCAAAAGGTACTAATCATTCTGCAAATTTATCATTTCAAAGAAAGGCAGATGCTTTTTATTTTTTGAACTGCAGTGCCTGGTCCAAAGGAACTCAAGTATTTACTGAGTAAATATTTCAGAAAGATTATAATTTAGAATCTTTGCTTCAATTATGGCAAGTCACCAACCACTTTCCAACCTTAAACAGATGCTGTTTATTTTTTTTTTTCAGTGAGATTAAACTTCAAAAACCTGGGACATACAATGAATTTTATAGATGATGTAAGTAGTAACTTCAGAAATAACCAGAAATGGAAAAGGCTTTCTTTTCCCTTGCCATTAGAGTAAAACAATCACAAACTAACAGAATAGTGATTACATCCACAGAAGGTGCCTGAAAGTAGCTTCTTGTGGTGTTATGCATGTTCTATTTCTTGATCTGAATGCCACTTTTGGTGGAGGTGCTGGGGATCAAACCCTGGGTCTCATCCATGCTAGACATAGTACTCTTACTACTGGGTCACGTTCCATAACCCCCAAATGATGTATTTTTAAGTATGCTTTCTTCTTGAAAGCATATTAGGCTGTAAATTTATTTTATTTATCTTTTTTGAGACAAGGTCTCATTATGCAGTTCAGGGTGGCCTTAAGTTCACTTTGTAGCCCAGGCTGGTCTCAAACTCACTCGATCCTTGTGCCTCAGTCTCTCAAGTGTTGGGATTATAGGCATGAGCCACTAAGCCCAGCAGGCTGTAAATTTATGATCTTTGGGGCTGCAGATTTAATTCAGCAGTATAAAGCACCTGCCTGGCAAGCACAAGGTTGTGAGTTCAAACTCCACCACCACCAAAAAAAAATGCATTTCTTTAAAGGGCCAGGGGTTTAGCTCAGCAGGGTAAGTGCCTGAATGGCAAACTTGAGGTTGTAAGTTTAATCCCTGTACCAAAAAGAAAAAAGAAGAAAGATAAAATTTATGATCTTCGCACTTTTCTATTTCAATAAAATGAGCTCTTAAAACTAAACTGACTACATCCACCTTTAGCACAACTACTGGGAGGAGAACATTCTAGTAGTATGCATCAAAATGTGAAGTACTAACTGATATTTGTTGATACAGAAAGGTGGATCATAGTTTTTGAGGAGGGAAAAAATGCCCATGTGCAACTGGGGGAAAAGGCTGGGAAACCATTTGCCAATATGCTATCTTGGGACAGTGTGTGTTTTTCAAGTTTACTCGTACCATTAGAATTTTAAGACAATCATTAAATTTGGGAATGGAAAATGGAAACTTTTTATTTTGGGCAGAAAATAGTACTTCAGATCAAGACAATGCCATTACCCTATAAAGATGCACTCAGATGCGTGCAGTTGTGTGTGTCAGCTCACACACAGGGGTGGACTTGGAATGATCTTCCGTTGAAAGTCCAACCTCTTTCGCTTGAATCCAGCTCTGAATTAAATTTAGAGTCAGGCATCTAGGATTATGGAAACCCTGATGGAGGTTTGCTGTACTGAGTTTTAACAGAACATGGGTGTTTGGCAGTGTTTATGGAAATACGCACTGAGACAGGCACTAGTACAGTCTGCAGGTCAGCAACAACTCTCAGAGGCCAGCACAGCCGAGCCGCACTGAGAACCTGCATCCTAATCTATCATCCTGCAAAGGTGAGTGGGAGAAAATAGCACCTCTTTCTCCAAACTTTTCTCCAGGTAACAGAAATCTGGATGACTTTTATTCTTTTCCATGTATGTGTATGCATCTCTCCCACAGGTATTTAAAAATGCAGTAGGAAAATTAAAAAAGGATGCTCATAATCTTTTGGATACCTTGAACTTCCTCACGATGTATGCTTATGCAAATTGTTTTAACTGCCTTACCCATTTCTACAAGATACAATTCATATTTGTTCTCACCTGTACTTCTTTGTATACTTCCTTCCCTGTCTCCTGCTAGGACTATTTTCTACCTCTGTATTTTTGTTTTAGTTTTTTTGAGGCAGTGTCTACCTACATAGTTCAGACTGGTCTTGAACTCACAATGTAGCCAGGGTGGTCTCAAACTTGCAGTGATCTTCCTGCCTCGGCCTCCTATATGTTAAAATTACAGGCATGTACCACCACACCCAGGTACTTCCTTACTGTTATGGTTATTAACTTTTGCCTACATACATGATCACAACTTGTGTATACAAGTTACTGTTTTCTCTAGAGCAAAACATCTAGAAGAGGATCATTTACTATTCATTTGTATTTTCCTATGTAATCTAGGTTGATTATTTTCACTAACTATGGGTTGAGCTGCATGTTAGATCTCAGTAATTCATTTCTCAAAAGTATGTGACCTGTATCTCCATCCTGGGCAGCAAGTGGTATCATTTTTTTATTAGAAAAGAATGTTTTTATTTTTTCTATTTGGTTTCTTGCATCTGAAATTATTATAAAGTTGTCAGTGTATCTGACCTGTCATTTCTTTAAATTTGCATGTGTCCTGTAAGGTGAAGCCCCGTACTTCCTTATCCGGGGTTATTTGCTTAATAGAACCTACTTCTTGAATCATACTTCCTCCTAAGGAACTATGAAGGTGAAAGGAGAAACTGAACCGAAAGGTATTTAAAACACCCTGGAGCTGCTCATCACGAAGACTTACAAGATGCCCACGAGGCAGACCCTGCTCCGTCAGCATCTGCCACCTGTGTCCTTGCTGTTTGTTTGCTTTTGGTGCAGTCCTGGCTACTGCTCTACTATGGTCCCTGTGAGAGGAAAATGTCTTGACATTGCAGAGTGGCCAGCTTTGTATTATCAACATTAAAATTATTTAAATCACACTTCTGCAGCGTAAGTCACTAAAGTGAAGGCTTTTTCAAAGAAATACTAAGATTATATTTTCTATTTTACTAAGCAAATTCCCTTCAGAACACAAAATATAAATCCAAAAGCCTTATTTGTCTCATATTAAAGTTGTCTGTGTACTATGATCTCAACTATGTAAAAAAAGAAACTGAAAGGAGACAAAAATGGTATTAATGAACAATGCTTATCTTAGAATGGTAAGATTATGGGTAATATTTTTAATTCCTTCTATTTTTCAGAATTTTAATTTTTGTTAAGCTGCAATTAAAAACATTAAAGTATGGCTTATCTGTGAGTTCTGTCACTCATAATCTAAAGTTTCAGTGGCCTTAAATTCAATTTGTGCTTCACTTCAATGCTGGTGTGTGTGTGTTTTTCCTACTTTGTGACCCGACCTTGTGAGTCAGGTACCAGCAACTGTGGTGTGACTGGAATTCCTAGGTTCAGTTTTACAGCAAAGATGTTTTACTGTCAGGATCAAAGAAGAAACACATAAAAATCTTGAGAGTTATTTTTTAAAAAAGCAATGAAAATACATTATATTTACACCAAATATAGCACCTTGAAAAAGCAAAGTTGGAATGATACAGAATAATCACAGTATCTGTGTCTGGCATTTAAGTTTCTAACAGAACTTCCCTTCTGAGAATTCTGGCAGCATTTTATTTTACCCTCTGAAATTAAGTCTAGAAATGTCTATAGGAGCTGTTGAGGGACTTTGTCTCAACCCGCTCTCAGGAAAGTTCTCGGATTATCAGCCAGATTGCACGTGTGGAGACAGAATCTATCCTGGCACAAGATGCCATTTTAAATGAGAAAATCTTGTGTCACATTTCTTTCCATCAGGACCCTTCTCAAGTTGTGTATTCTGTTTTTTCTTATGCTTCTAAAGCATGGGAGTTCCCCTTTCAGCCTCAGCAGGACCAAGAACAAAATTCTTAAAGTAACAGAAACCCAGAGGTTATGACCTAAAGCAGTGACAGTGAGCCCTTTACAGCTCTCAATGACACGAACGGCCCTCTGTGGCAGGTGTGCCACCGGATCGTCACCACTGACCTAAATGGAATAAAGCCAAGACTTCTGTCCTGACTTCCTAAAGTCTCCCACAAATAGGCTGTGGTCAAATGTACAACTGGTTACAAATGTGCAGGCAGACAAAGTCTCAAGTGTTTTTAAGTGTGTATTAATAGCACTATGCCTCAATGAATAGTGGTGACTCCAGATAAAAGGCACAATCCTAAATAAAAAGTGTTATTGGCCAGAGTCGTGAATGAAGTTAAGTGGGAAAACGAGCTGCTAGATTACAGTCCTACGTCTCCCTTGGGAGACATGAGTTCCTTGAAGGCAGGTATCAGGGTATGCTCATTTTGGCAACTAGTACCATATAACTCTAGCCTGACAAACAGCACGCCTTGAGAAGCTCAGGCAAAAGATAGGGTAGGTAACTTGTAAGAAGTTAAAATAGGAAAACTGGACAATAATTATCCAGACCTCCCACTACTTATACAGGGGCACTGGTAGACTACCTGATTGCACCGCTTAGTTTATCACATATACGACATGGCAAATATTTTGAAATTTTTTATTTTTTTGGTAGTATTAACCAGGGCTTTATGCATGCTAAGCTCTACTACTGGGCCACATCCCTATCCTTTTTTTTGAGAGAGGGTCTCTTAAATTGCCCAGACCAGCCTCAAACAAACTTGCAATCTTCTGGTAGCCTCCTGAGTAACCAAGATTCTCTTGGCTCTAGTTCTTAATCTGGCAATAAAAGGCAGTAATAGCAGGTCAGGCATGGTGGCATATGCCTAAAATTCCAGCTTGGGAGACCAAAGCAGGAGGGTTGCTGTGAGGCTACCCTGAACTGCATAATGAAACTCTGTCTCAGGAAAAAAAGAAAAAGTAAAATTACTGAAGTTAATGTAAATAAAAACGATATAATAAATCTTAGAAGAAAAGCTATGTAATAACTATAGCTTTTTCTTATGCTATAATATTCATGGAGACATGTAAAATACATATTTAGAAAAATTTGTAGTTTGAGCTAAATATACAAAATTTTAATTTGTAAGAATTTAAAAAGTATTTAGGCATATGCCTATAATCCCAGCACACAGGAGGCTGAGGCAGAAGGATGGCCATGTGTTCAAGGCCAACCTCGGCTACATAAGGAAGTTCAAACCTCGGCTACATAAGGAAGTTCAAGGCCAGCCTACAATATATAGCCCCTGTCTTAAAAAAAAAAAAGCAGCTAAGGCTGGTAGCACATAGCTATAAACCCAGCTACTTGGCAGGCTGAGGCAGGAGGATTCAAGTTTGAGGGTTAGGCAGTTTGGTGAGGCTCCATCGCCCTTCTCTCACCACAAAAACAGGGGAACTGGCATTGTAGGTCATTGGGCCCTGGGTACATAAGATGTAAAATTAAACACCATTTTTTAAAAATGGGCTTTCACCAATTGGTAACACTTCTTTTTCTGTCTAGGCTTCATCTTTCTATACATAACTATGCATAATTCCAGAAGAAGAAAGAAAATACTTTTTATAAAGTTAATACAAGTGTGTCTCATTCTTCCTTTTCAGTCTGTAGGGCTAAGTAATGAGCATGTTCTTTTTCTTGAATATAAGTGACAGAATAGATAGAGTAGATAGCTCTAATGTCTAAGGTTGGCTTTTTCATTATTTTTTTTGAAACTTTTTTTAAGCTACAAAAGACTGCCTTTTCTCTATTTCCTCTCCCTTGAGTTCCTTGTTACCCTGCTGTCTTAGTCCAGGGACTGCGGCTTCAGTGCTCAGGAGAGGTGGAAGCGGCCCCCGCACCGACACAAGACACCCTGGCCTGGCACTTCCTGAGCGCCCCCGGCCTGTACAAAGCAGAGGCTCTGTAGGCTCCTTTGGTGCCTAAATGAGACAGAACGCCCAGGGGCTGGAGGGAAGCCTGTGCCACATGCCCAGGATGAGCGCGGGGTGAAGCAATACTCATGCAGGGGTGAGGAAGGGGAGGAGTACCTTGACGAGGGAGCAGCTGCATGAAAATGGCTGATTTAGAGCAAGGCAGAGGAGCTTCAGACACAGAATGGAAGAAAACACAAAGTAAGTGATGTCCACGACATTAAAACAAGGTCAAATATGATTAGATTTTGGGTAATTACTAAGTTCTCTGGTTTTCAGAAGCCTGGTTTTCATTATTGAGTTCTGATCATTAATTTCCTAAATAATACATTCTGTAAATAAATATAACTTACAATTTTACAGATGATGTGTTTTACCATCTTTTTTGTTTTGTTTTGTTTTTGAGACAGGGTCTCACTATGTAGTTCACGCTGCCTTGAACCCACTATGTAGCTTACATTGGCCTCGAATTGCAGTGATCCTCCTGCCTCAACCTGAGTGCTGGCATTATAGGAATATGTCACTGCATCTAGCTGTTTTAACTAGAGTTAAGAATTTTACCTTAAATCAAGAACTAATTTAAAACTAAAAAACTTTAAAATGAGATTAAAAAGTTAGCAGAAGTTATACACAAATAATTGCTCAATTTAAAATTATTTTTATCCAGGTTGAGTGTGGTGGTGCATGCCTGTGATCCCAGCACTCAGGAGGCCTTGGCAGAGGATCACCCTGAGTTGAGGGCAGCTGAGCTACAAAGTGAGTTCAAGGCCAGCCTAAACTACATAGTGAGACTCTGCCTCACAAATACATGAATTTTTTTCTCCCTAAATATAAAATAATAAAAAAAGAAAAAGAAAATGAAAAAAAAAACAAGTAAAGGTCTGGTAGTAGCCTCAAGCATTTTTAAATTGTTTTGCAGGGGTAGGTAGGGTCTGGCTATATAGCCCAGGCTGGCCTTGAACTTGCATCAATCCTCCTGTCTCAATCTCCAGAGGGCTGGGACTACCAGTGTGCATCACCATGCCCAGGGCCTTAAGCACTTCTTTAAAACACTAAAGTATGTATAGTTTCAGAGATTTTATGTGGTCTCAAAATAGAGGCCTATAACTTTTTTTAAAGAGGGAGTTATTTTAACCAAATATAGTAGATAAATTGCTGACTCAGAGCTAAATTTAGGGAAATAGTTTTGATGAAATGTCCCTTCATGCAAATAGCTATCAGCAATACTGGCTTGAGATACTTATGAAAGCTAGCTGATCCATCCTCCTTCCCTAGAGGGCTGTTCACATTACTGAGCAAAGTAAAAGAAGGGGCGCCAGGAACGGACGAAGTCCCCAAAATAAAGCGGAAGAAGTGAATCTGAAAGAACAACTTGCTCTAGAAAAACTTGTGCTCTAATACTATCACCAAAATAAGGTGATAAAAGAAAAAAAATTAAGGACTTCTTAGTATAAAACAATGAAAACAGATCATAGGCTTGTTTTTGTAAAAAAAAAAAAATACCGTATTTCTCACACTTTTTGAAGTAAAAAATGTGTTATAAAGTTTTTGCTGTAATTATTACCTGACTCTTCCAAAACAGTCTCCATGAACTATTGGAATAATTTACATACAAGGGGCACTGTGACAAGCATCACAGGCAAGAGGTCAAAACAGTTTTTGTGCACACTTGACCATCTTTACAACTAAGAGCTCTGGAAGGCAGGTACCCTGCCCTGGCTGCTTACTGCAGAGTAAACAATGAATATCTCTAAGATACATATCTGGAATTCTGGTTTCTACATATCTCTAAGATACACATCTGGAATTTCTGGTTTCTGCAAAGCACTGCATTATGTATCTTATACTTAAAATTGAAAGAACTCTATATACTTAGAATTTGTTAAACAACATGGGTCACAAAACCAAATCAAAACACTAAAACCTTAAATACTGAGATCCATGCACAAAAACTGTCCAATCCTGAGCAACCAGAGCCTCTTTCATCTTAAAATGGCCCAGAGTGGCTAAAGCATACCTACTAAAAAGGTATTCAAATGTTTACTGAAGTGAGCTGTAAAAAGTGTTAGGAGAACCTGATAAATATAAAGTAGATTTTAATACTTTGAGACTAATCGAATTTATTTAACTTTTTAAATACGTACAAAATCCATATAATTCTGCCTGGATCTTTATTCTAATATACTTGGCCTTTAATATTTCAAGAGGACAAAGGTAGACCATACTTGAAATGGGTATGAAGCACTCAATGTATGACTTTTAAAAAGGCCTCTGTGCTCATTAGCTGGGAAAATCATTCATGGCTTTTTTGGGCTTAACCAAGAAATAATCCAATAAACAGCTTTTTTCTTTTTTTAGTAGGCAGACAGGTTTTATCTTTTAGTTCCAATTCTGGTTCTTCAGTTTATGTTTAGCTCAGGTACCCTGGGCCTAATAAGGGTCATAATATCAAGTCTGGAATGTTCTTATGTATTACGGGTACAGGCCATGTATTTTCTTCAGGATGTTCTTACTGGATTTAAGAAAACCTGAAGAGGTAAAGTTGTGTGTCCACTTGGCAGGAGGGCTACAGTAAACACAATTTTACATGCACTGAATTCTGGGTAGAGTCCATTAGTTCTATCAATGACAAGTTGCATTTCTATTAGGATTCAGGAGACACAGGTGTTTTTAAAGGTACACTTACACATTTTCAGCGAGAAATGTCCTCAGAGCTGGTGACTGCTCAAGTATCACCACCATCTTAATTGAAGTGAGGTCAAATGGTGGGCTGGCATGAGGATTAGGAGGAGGACATCTGCCCTATTGCAGGCAATGCCATGGAGGTAAATATTATGCTGAAAATGTGGCTGCTGGGTGTAGAGTTCAGGGAATATTTGGTTTCTACATAGCTGAACAACAAATTTGAATGAGTTAAAAATCTGGGTAAAATTCACTTGTTTTAGCCCTTTGATATCCATAAACTCAGTCCATAAAAAGTAAGGTGATAAAGATATGAAGTGATATAACTAGTCACAACTCTCATACTTGGCTTTCTGAGGCAGGGTCTTGTTATGTAGTATGGGCTGGCCTAATCCTAAACACACTATGTAGCCCAAGGTGACCTCACTCTTGTGACCCTCTTGTCTTAGCTTCCAGAGCACTGGGATTGTAGGCATGTGGCACCACACCTAGCCTCAAAGTGTCAACTCTTGACCATTACGAGGTATTTTGTAAGAACTAATGACAAAACTACAGCAGCTGGAGCAGAGCAATCAGGACCTTCCGCTGGGAATAGTGGCACATACCCGTAATGCCAGTACTCTGGGAAGCTGAGGCACAAGGATCACAGGTTTGATCCCAGCTGGGCAATTCAGTGACTTAGTGAGAGACTGTGTCAAAATGAAAACAGCAGGAGATAAAGCTCAGTGTGAAGGTCCTGGTTTCAGTCCTTAGTGCTGTAAGACCACACCACCACAAAACAACTGATTTTTTGACACTTTTAACACCACTTTAACAGCTTAAAGGCTAAAATTTGGTCAAATGAACCAAACTTTAAAAATGAGAGGACTACACAGAGTCCATTGATTTGTATGTGTGTGTGTTGTGTGTGTGTATGCGCGGATGCATGTGGTGCTGGAGACTGAATATAGGCAAGCAATCTACTACTGAGCTATGTTTCTTCTTCTTCTTCTTTTTTTTTTTTTTGTCTTTTTCGTTTTTATTGGTATCAGGGATCGAACTTATGACCGCACACTTGCAAGGCAAGCGCTTGTGCCACTGAGCTAAATCCCCAGCCCCTGAGCTATGTTTCTAATTGTGATAAACTTCTGTGGTTGAAAGTCATAAATAACAAAGCAGAAAATAGGCAGTTTTACAGAAGAAAAGGACTAGTAGACAGAAGTAATCAACTAGAAATGAATGAATGAGGTACAGAGGAAAGAGACGGAAAAGAATATGAGAGAAACACAGGGAAGGTGGTAAGGGTGGTATAAAGAACATTTGCCTTGGCTACATGCAAGAACTGTGTGATAAAGCCATTAGTGCTACTAACACTCTGTCTTTCCACTGAACGTAACACTGTAAGTACAGAGCCCAATTATCTGTATGGTGCTCTGGCTCAACATGCTAAGAGTTTACGGGAGAAGGCTGTACAGGAAGATAATTCAATGGCCGCAGGATTTAGAAGAAGGTAAACTGCCGTGGCCGGGACAGCTGAAATGCTGACAATGGGGCAGGACCACCGGTAGATCCTAGGGGACAGTCTCAAACTAGTGTGCATAAAAATCATGTTCACTACTGACCAGGCTTCACCCATGGAGGGCCACGTGTTACAGGTCTGGGACAAGGCTCCAGCATCTGCCTTCGACACTTCCTTTCCCTTTCCACTTCTCTCCCTCTCCCTCTTTTGTGGTACTGGGAATCGAACCCAGGGTCTTTACCTTGAGCTATATCCCCAGCCTTTTTTTACTTTTTGAGACAGTCTCAATAAGTTGCCGAGGCTTGTTTTCTTTTTTTTTTTTTTTTTTTGGTACCTGGGAATGAACTCAATCTAGGTTATTCTTAAACATGTGATCCTCCTGCTTTAGCTGCCCAGGGTGAGGGGTTACAGGCAGGCCCCAGCACACCTGGCTTAGTACTAGCTGAGTTTCTAACAAGCTCTTAAATGATGTTGATGCAGCTGATGTGGGACCATACTAGAACAAACACTGCTCTAGAAGTAAGTGGTGAGAACAACCATGGTTATATGGGAAAAATAGCTGGTCACACTTCTTTTATGTACCGGGTAAAAAAGATCCCCTGCACGGTGACCAATAAGTAAATGCTGAAAGAAAGCTTAATGGCTGAGTGTAACTTTTTAACATAATGGTTTATAAATTGAAATTCTACTTATGGATCCTGAAAATCACAGAATAATTTTACCATTTGAGTCTTAAAAATTTTTGCCATTGAATAATATATAAAATAATTATATCAAAATAATTTTATCATTTGATACTTTAAAAATCCATACTAAGAACTACACAAATTACTTAAAAGAATTTTTCTTATAGCATTTGGTATTTCATGAATGAATTTTTCAGACAATGGAACAAACTAAATAAGTTCTCCTTTAATTTTAATCATTCTAAAAGGAGCTCTTTTCTAAATTGGAAACATAACCATAGCAGGAGCTTTCCTTCCCTGCCCACTGTCATCTCAACACACACAACAGCATCAGCAGCACCGCTAATACTTCTGGCATCAACCAAGGTTGTATGACATCATTCCTTCTGACAGCAGCAAGCCCAGAGCCATGTAGTTTTGCTGTTTCTACTGTCTTTATGTCAGGTCCACTCCAGCCATTAGCTCCCATACCCCAGTCACCAGCTACACACCGCACACTCTCCCCATTCAGACTAAAAGAACCCTACAATGAGGGCTGTTATTTATCAGCTCTAAGGATGTTATTTTCTTGAGATGACATTGTCTAGTAAATGTTTAATTCCTTATCCTCAGGCTAGTCTATGGGGTTGTTTCTGGTAGTCAGCAGGGCACTATTAAGACTTGGTATGTTTTTTGATACAGTATGCTGTATCAGAAAGAAGCCCTTAGGACACTGTTTGCATGTCTACAAAAGGAACTGGAATTCTGTTCACTTACAGAGTAATGCAGCTTAGATTGCTCTTCTTGCCCACGTTTAAAAACTTATCCACTTTGGAAAACCTATTGTTTGTGAAAACTACAGACATTTCACTGTCTTAATATGACTCCTTGGAAGGTAGAAATCTGCAGAGAATCAACATTCAACTCAGTTACCAAGTAAAGATGAAATGTAAAATGAACCTCATGAGAAAAAGGAACAAAAGCTGCTATAATCTAACCACAAGGGAATTTCTAATGCTGGCATCTTAATACTATTGGTCAAAGTTATATAAAGATCACATTTACTAACCTGGGGAATGCTGGGAAGTTGCAAGTGAGGTCATGGAATTAGAGAGGTTAAGGTTGGCAGTGATACTAAGCTGGCTCTGCAGTGCAGGAGGGTAAGGAGATGTGGGTGTCAGGAGGGACTCCTCACTGGTTTCTTCATCAATTCCAGGCAAGTACGTGTCAATCAAGGCATCAAGAAACTTAACAATAAGCTCAGCATAGTCTGGGATTTGTGTTTGCTGTAATGGAAAATAGGAAATTATTTTAGCTCCACTCTTTTTTAATTTCCTCTGAAGCCAAAAAAAGATTAATTCAATTTTGGGGGGCTTACTTTATTACTTTTTATTTATTACTTTTCTTCCTTTGTTTATATTATAGATCATTTTAAAAAAGGAGTGGAGTAATATTTATTGACTACCATAGGACTTAAACCTGGGAATTTTATTCAGCTTCCTTTAACACTTCCAGATGAACCTGCAATTCCTATGTGCAAATGGACTAAATGCTAAGACAATACAATCATCAGGAATGATGTCTAGCCAATTTTCCAAAACACAGAAAATGAGCAGAATATCATCATTCCAGTTGCTGTTTAATTCTACCAACTAGACATTGTGGAGGGCAGAGGGTTATAGCAAATCTAAGTATAAAAACCACTGCATGGTACACTTACTTCTGTGACTTTAGGCCTACTTTTTCAGTGACAACCTTGTATATCAAGAGATTTAATACCCCTGTACCTAGAACACTGTGCCAGGAACTACAGGGGGAAGATACAGAAGTCCTGCCTTCAAGGAACTTCAATGAATTTGGGGAGAGCATACACAAAGAAAATAATTAAATACATACTTATGTAGCACTATAACAACTAATGCCAAAGAAAAAAATGAATAGAGAATAAAGAATCTAATCAAATATTGTTAGATGTAAACATGTTTTCATGAGGTAGACTACAATCACAGATAATGCGTCTTACTAGTCATAAGATATTTGAATGTGTACATTAAAATTATCAAATACATAGGGGTCTGTGGGGGGAAAAGTTTTACAGATTTATCATACCCTTCTGCAAAATAAGCATAAAAGGAGTTGCTTTTGTAAATGTATAAAGCTGCTGAAGCTGCTGTCTTTTTTTTTTTGAGGCAGGGTCTTGCTATGTTGTTCAGGCTGACCTTGAACTCCTTATTCAGCCCAGACTGGTCTTGAACTTACAGTGATCCTCCTGCCTCTGCCTCCTCATGTGCCACTACATCCAGCTGATGCTACTACCTTTTAGAAGAGATTTTGTGCTGGAAAACTTTTTCTGATAATGTGCTGACTGAGTTACTCTGGTTTTCACTATAATATGCATTCTTAAAGTAAGTATATTAAGATGGATAAAAACTTTGTTTTGTCAAATATATGAAAAAAAACATGTTTTTATACCTTTGAAAAGGGTCCTGCAAACCGCCACAAGCCATTAAAACCAAAACCTGCAACAAATCAAATGTTATTCTTATAAGACACATGGTATCTTTATATGGTAATATATTAAGTTGTACAGTTGATTTATAAAGCCTATGAACACAATGAAGTTATTTTAGAATGATTGTCAAAGCACACTAAAACTTACTTAAAATAGGTTCAGTGTAAAACCATATTTTAATAAAGTCGTCAAGCAATTATAATAGTGAGTATGACTATGGGAGTCAGGAAATTGTAAATGGAAGGAGGAGTATGAACAGCCTATCCCTGATAAGGAATTCTGTAGCCAGTGCATTCTATAACAGTGCACACTTTAGCAAGTTCCTCAGTCATCCTTCTCCTGGTAATTTACTTTGCAGGTAGGATGTTTGGTACTGCGGTGGGGATTCTTCATGGTACACCACACTCTGCACGATTCCATGGATCGGGTTTAGCAAATTTGGATCTTGGCATAATGTTAACAAGGTGTTCATCTTAGAGTCCAACAAATTGTGCCTAAAAAAAAAGTCAAAGGAGACATATTTTAGAGAACGATTAATGAAAAGATTTACTGAAAAACATACTAGAACAATGTGGCAGAATCAAAAGGATGAGCACTTTTAACTTTCTGGTGCTTTTCTGTATTTTTCATATTTCCTGTGTGTGTTTGCTTTTTTGGTTCACCTTTTGTTCTGTTTTTAGTCACTAGGAAAAATATGGTAAAAACAAACAACTCATGGTGTCATATATAACCATGTCAAAGTATGTATCATGAAAGCTTTTTCAAGATAAGGCTGGCCTCTATCTATCGCTTAACACACATTATAACCATTGATTTTTGCTATCTACTGATATGCACTCAATGAATTAAGATTAGATTTAATATTAGTCAGTACTTAATGAATGCTCAATCACATTGAATTTTATGAAGAGAAGCAACATCGGATTGAAAGGTACAGAATAACCATTCAATGAAATCTTAGGAAGAAATTAACTAATTTTAATCTGACTGTACTGATAAGTAAAAAGAACTAGGACTTAGCTGCATACAATTTGAAAATTTTATAACATAATTATCCAAAAGTAAAATAATTATGTTGTACACAAGCTCTCAATTGGAACAGAATATTCCGAGTTTCTGTGGGCTACTTCAAAAAAAATTTTTAAGAGTTTTTTTTTTTTTTTTTTTTTTTTGAGACAGGGTCTCACTAGGTAATTCAGGCTGGTCTTGAGTTCACTATGTACCCAAGAATGGCCTTGAACCCCCAGTGACCCTCCAGGCTTCAGCCCAGTGTTGGGATTATGGACCTGTGCTACCCAGGTGGGCTATTTAAATTTGAACACAGAGGCTAAATTGTCAAAAGAGGAGGTTAGTCTTAATTTCACACAGCTGTGGATAAACACAAACACTCTACTAAAAAGAAAACCAGAACAGGTGTGTAGATTTAAATATGGCAATCGCTCAGCTTGGTCTTGGGTGAGGAAAATGACCAGTGCTAATCATGGTGAAACACTTAAGTAAATTAACAGACTTTGGAAAAAAGTTTCTCCTGACAGGGTAAAACTAGTTCTAGCCATCACTAAACTCACTGTGTTCTGTTGTTTTGGTGCTGGGGATCAAAAGTGGGGCTTGTGTATCCTGAGAACACACACTACCACTAAGCCACACCTGCAGCCTCTTCTGCCATTATCTCTAAGCTAAAAATCACTACCACACTATCGCACTGCAACTGGTGAATATTACCGGGTGATGTATTTCCCTAATTCCTTACAAAGCATTTGACATAAAGATAGGTACAAAGGTTAATTCAATACGGAAGATACTTACACAACAGGAAATACTTTGGGGAACACAACGCTGGCCTCTGCTAAATATTCATAAAGAATTCGTTGATCAAATTCATCTGTGGTATATTTTACTAGTGTTGCCTGCCAAATGCAAAAAAGTAAACAAGGAACATTTTTATTTTGTGATTAAACTTTCAGCTGTTTTGGTAAGAATTAGAAGACAATCTTCCTTTCATGTTTTTAACATTTAAAGGGGAAGGAGGGTTGAAGAGAGGGGAGGGGATTGAGGAAAAAAATCAAAATATATTATGGGTTGGGAATGGTGGCACATGCTTGTAATCCCTGCACTTGGGAGGCTGAGGCAGGAGGATAGTTGTGGGTTCAACGCCAGCGTGGGCTACACAAGTGAGTTCAAGGCCAGCCTGAACTGCACAGCAAGAACCTGTCTCAAAAAAACCAAGGGGTGGGGGGAAGAGGCTCCTTAAAGTACACTGGAATATAAATTTCAACAAGGAAAACCCTCAAAAAGGGAAAATCCTTACTAGAACAGTAAGAAGAAGTGCCTGGATCTTTGGATCAGTAAGTACTTCTTCATCCAAAAGAACGTTCGACTCAGACACTGAAACTTTACGTAAATGTGGGTGCTGCTGCGATGAGGAAACCCTCTGAGTTTCTGCAGTAAGACACAGATGAACAAGATCAGCTGAATTAACAGAACACTGGATAACCACTTCACCCAGCATACTTCAAGGTTTTAACAATTAACAGCATTTTGGTGGACAGTCAAAACATCAAAAAATATATATGGAATTCCTATTCATCTACACAAAATTTTGGTTAGCTATTTACGACACTGTGTATCAGACATCTGATGACTTTTTGCACAGGTTTGAGGATAAACATCATTTTAAGGACTGCAGAGGATATCTTTTGAAGAAAAAATGCTTCTACACAGCATTCTAAAGATTTGTACATGGTTGGAAGTAAATGTGGATTTGAGGTACTCTCCCACCTTATTATCAATGACACAGATGAATTATTAACTTTGTTTCTCACCCATTTCATAATCAGTTTCTGCTACTCTTCTCATTTTAGGGGGTGTTGTGATCCCTGATTCCATTTCTTGCCTTTTAGGAGCCTTTGTGTCTGATATCAAGTGATCAAAACTTTTCCTTGTCCCTAAAACAAAAGTAACAGAATACAGAAATGCATTAACCACTGTGTCTATGAAGAAGAATACGCTAAAAAGAAAATGTCTGGACATAAAGTGTTTAAGTTTTCATGTAGAGACCTCCCAAAACTCAAACCTACTACTGGAGCACAGTGTCCCCACTGATCCATCTTCTCAAAGGGATAGTTTTTGGTTTTAGGACAGATGCACCCTACTGGCCTTAATGAAACTAAGATTACATTCATCTACAGTGTAGGTAAACCAAGGGCTCCCAGCAGGCACGAGTACGGCGAACAAACACAGAGGGATATGTGCTATTCAAGAGCAAAGAATGACTGCATCACAACAGTCTTCAATTTAAGAAATTCTGCTGGTGCCAAGAATTAGCCATTAACATATGAAAAATTTCCAAATGTAGTAAGAAATTAAAGTTTGATTTTAATTCCTCAAGCTTTGAGAAGATGGCCTGTATATCTGAAAATACCAAAGAACAGGAATATAGGAGATGCTTCAAAATAGCAAGTGATACTACCTCACACTTGGCTCTGAATTTCCCCAATCATGTACCACACTAATATTTAAGTATCTTTCTCTTAAAGTAGAAATATTGATATTGGACTATCTGAAATTTACATATTTTTGCTTTTTACATTAAAAAAAGTCTCATTCATATTAAAATAGCTCTAGGAAAAAAAAATCTGACCAATCACAAGTTTTGCTGGTATCATTCTGAGTCTGACTATACCCTGCATGGAACTCTTTCACTAACTTCACAAGGCTTTCTGAAGCAGTACATTGTCAGAACAAGGCCTCAGTTTATTTACCATTTTGAGATAAAATTGAAATTTCAACCTGTAAAAAAAAAAATCTAGCATACTTCTAACATTCTTTTTAAAAAGCTATAATTGATGTCGCTGGAGATTTAGGTCAGTGGCATAAGCGCCTGCCTTCCAAGCACGCAGTCCTGAATTCGATCCCCAGCACAGAAAAAAAGTTAAAAAGCTATAATTGAAGCCAATATAACTGAACACTTGACAAGTGCAATGTTTTATTAACCTAAAGTATTAATACTAATAAATATTTTTAAGTCATAAATATCAAGGTCAAAAGAATCTAATCCAGTGTAATTTCTTGTAAACAGAGGAAGCCATAAGTCATTAATCATCCTGAGGTCACATGACCAGGGATCCAGCTAAGGGTCAGACTGAGAACTAGGATCATGCTCTCCATATTGCACAGGACACCATTCTCCACATTTAGTTTTCCTGTTTTCTCCACTCTTCCTTTTTAGTTTACTCTGTGTGTTCTTCCCAGAGGTTTCACCTTCTGCACTCAACTATCTAGGAGCTAAGTGATTCTAAAGGTGTCATTTGTTTATTTTTATCTTCCCTAACTCCAAACTGATATATCTTTTCATTTATCTCTTGGATATTCACTGCTAGATATCCTGAAAGGACTTCAAACATAATCATCAACCAGCCTAAATGTACATACACATCCTGATTTCTATGAGTAGGACTATTATTGAACCGTTTTCCCCCTTCTACTTCTTTCTTTTTTTTGAGACAGGGTCCCACCACAAAGTGCAGGGTTGGTCTTGACTCACAGCAGTCCTCCTGCCTCAGCTACCCAAGTGCTAGGATTACAGGCATGTGCCACCATGCCTGAAACCTTTGTATTTTTTCTGTCCTATTTTTGTTGTATCTGAATTACAGGTGAAGTGCTTCTGATAGCTTGCATGTATTTGATTCTTTTAAAATTTTTTAAAGGATACAAAAATGATACATATTAATGAGGTATCTTAAACATCAGATAATTTTTTAAGTCCGAGTGAACGTATTTATCTCTTCAGACATTTATCTTTTGCAGGAGCAAGGTGCTTGCTACGCAGCCCAGGCTGTCATAAAACACACAATCCTCCGGCGTCAGTCCATAGAATGCTGGAATTGTACCTATGTGCCAGCACTTCCAACTCATTTATCATTTTATTAGGATGAAAACGTTCAAAATCTTTTCTTCCGACTTCTGAAATGTATACTGCATTATTATTATCCGTATCTACCTTACTATGTAATAGCACACCAGTACTTCCCATGCCTTGGCACCCATGGTCAGCTTTCCCCGACCTTCCCTCCCCGATAATCACGCCCCCAGCCTCTCAAGGTCTCTAAGATCAACTTTTTTATATTCTGAACACAAGTGGGATCTTGTGGTACTTGTCCTTGCCTCACTTTTTTTTTGTGTGTGCCAGGAATTAAAGTTGGTGCCTTGCTCTTGCCAGGCAGGCACTGAGCCACTGAGCTACATCCCCGGCTCCTGCCTCACTTATTTTTACTTAACATAATGATCTCTAGTTCTATTCATGTCATTAAGTGACAGGATTCCACTCTTTCTTTATGGCTGAAGATTTCTGTGCAATTGCTTCTGGGCTTTCTGACTAAGACCAAGTGGTCGTGTAGATGTCTTTGTTTCATTCATTCATCAGCTGATGGACACTGAAACTGTTTCTATTTCCTGGCTGTTGTGCACAGTACTGCAACACACATGGGAACTGACACCTCAGCAACACATGACTTCATTTCCCTTGGATGGATGTCCAACAGTCTGATCTTCTCTGTGTTAGACATCTATCCCAAACCTGATTCTTCTGTTTTCTCCAAGACTCCCGTCTTCATGCAGGCCTATACCGATTTTTGCTTGTGTTGATTTATCAATCTCCTAAATGGTCTGCTTGCCAAAATCTCTTCCTATTTCTCCATATTCCTGCCACAAAAACTTCCCCCCAAAATCTGGTCATATTCTCCCCCTACTTAAAATATCTCTGTTGCTTACATACGAAGGCTAAATCTCTGAATATGGCACACAGTCTTTAACATTCAAGTTCTGCTTCTTCTCTCTTATTTTCTACACCAGTCCCCATGATGCTATGATCCACTGCTAATTGTTTTCCTAAATGTATTCATGCTATTCCTCCTCTCCTGAATCTGTGCCCTTCCTTTTTTCTACCTGATAAGCATATATTAAAACTCATCAACCAGCTTACATATCATCTCTTCTCTGCAACTATTCCTAATTTTCCCAGACCCTGTTTCCCTTGTCAAAACCCACCACCCTGACAGATGCTATTGTCACCTCTGATTCTATGTCTTAGCACCAAACTGTAAGCCCCTCCACGCAGAGACCATCTTTTCCAACCAGAATATAGAGGAAATGAATTCATGGCACTTCGCTGAGGTTGGATTTTCATTTATAACTTCCTCTGCATGAAAATCAGAATTATAAAACATAAAGTATCCAGGAAACTCCTAAAAGATTTCTTAAGGCAAAGTACTAACAGAAAGAAACCCAAACAAAAGGTAACAGAACTATGTGACCAGCAACTGTAAGTCCATTCATGGTTTCTATGTCTTTCATGATCTGTTGGCAGGCCAGCTATGGTACACTTTGTGGTTTGATCACCAATTTCCTTATGAACACAGACATCTTCCCAATATTATCTCAAAACATATATATATGTCTGGTAACAAATCCTCTAAACCACTCAATTTTGGTTAATGAAATATAGATACCAATATATTCCAGTTAACAATTTAAACTTGTACCTAATGGATTACATGGTTGTTTTGTATTTCCTCTGTGGTTTGAGGTGGACTCAGTGGGTTCTTTCAGGTACTGACTTCAGTTACTGAAACGGCAAAGCGTCTCACAGCATTTTAGGTGCATTCTCACACGTTATGTTACCGAACCATCTTAACCTTCGAAAATTAATCTTGCATTTACTACGTACTGCAAACATTTACTAATAAAAAATTGAGAAAAAAGAATCTTATAATTAAAAATCTATTATCTTTTTAAAGACAACACAGTAAACCATATTAGAGCTTCATACCATACTCATTATTCTGCTCTCCAATGATAATTTTGGGAAGTACTGTATCACTAAAGCTTGAATGTAGCAACACTCTTCCTTTCCTACAGAGATTCAAAGGCTCTCCTATTATCATCACCTGCTCCCACCCAACGCAGAACAAACCGGGAACAGCCACAGTATTAGGCAAAAAATTAGGGGGCGAGGTTAATAAAACAAAGGTCCAATGTTCATTTCTCTATAGCAGCTGATATGGCTTAACGAATTTATCAAATTCTCTCATAACAAGCACACAAAACTGGTACATCAAAGTGAAAAACTGATAATCTTAAGCAATTTCAAATAATTTTTCAAGAGTAAAAGTATGTGATTTTTTTCAGACTAATCATTATCTTAAAAATTGTACAAGATTAAGATAAACTAACCAAGCAACTTCTTCGTGTTGGCCTGTGAAGGCTGCCCCATGTCCAGACTCATGGATTTCCTGGCTCTGGGACTGGTCTGGCCCATAGTTGGATAGGTGGCTGCAAGGTATCCTTCAGAACCTTTGGGAGAGGACCATGGTTGGTTCTCCTTTAGTGTCCTGAGAAATTTAAACAGTGCAGAAGAGTTAGCTGACAAGTACAATCATTGTTTGCCTATTCTAAGTAGCTACTCCAGCTCCCAACAACTGCAATCAACTAATTTTAAAATTGTACTTTAAAGGCTCTATAGTACAAACACTGAATGTTTTCCTAGGAAGCATCAACTTTCTTAGCATGGTCTCTTATACACAGACACTCACCAAATGCTAAACAGAAAGAGTTATACTGCATTGGTTTTACTGATTGTTTTCCTTTCCTTTCTTTCTGTTTCCTTCCTTCCCTCTCCCTCTCACTCCTTCCCTCTTCTCCGTCACAATTTCTTTTTTTTTGTCTTTTTGAGACAGGGTCTTGCTATGCAGTTCCGGCTGGCCTAGAACTCACTTTGTAGCCCAGGCTGGTTTGGAACTCGCAACAATCCTCCTGCCTCAGCCTCCCGAGTGCTGGGATTACAAGCGTGAGCCACCACGCCTGGCTAAATATAAATAACACGTTGTTTTGTTTGTTTGTTTGGTCCCAGAGATTGAACTCACAACCTCACACTTGTGAGGCAGGCGCTTATGCTGCTAAGCTAAATCCCCAGCCCTGTCACAATTTCTTTCTTTCTTTCTGATGCTGAGAATCAAACCCAGGGCTTCCCACATATTAGACAGGCACTGTACCACTAAGTAACACTCATCCTTTATTAACTTTTTAAACTGACAAAAACTGTATGTATTTATGGTATATATGTTTTGAAACATATGTATATATGTGTAGAATGGCTGCATCAAGCTAACACACGTGTTTCTTGCATACGTTGTATTTATTTATAGTGAGAACAGTTAAGCTCCACGTTCAGCAATTTTCTTTTTCCCCTGCTGTCCTGGAGATAGAACCCAAGCAATTTTCAAGTATACAGTACACTGTTATTAAAGACAGTCACTATGTTCACAGATAAAGCTATACCCCTATCCCTTTCAATTTTTTATTTTGGGCCTTACTAAGTTGTTCAGACTGCCTTGAATTTACGATCTTCTTCTTTTTTTTTAATTGGTACCGGGGATTGAACTCACGACCATGCGCTTGCAAGGCAGGCACTTATGCTGCTGAGCTAAATTCCTGGCCCAAATTTATGATCTTCTTGCCTCAGCCTAAGTAGCTGTGATTACAGGTAGGTGCTAACTTGCTTTTTAATCAGGGAAAATCAAGTCAAGGCAATTGAACATTTGTTTTAAAAACCAAGAGAATAAAACTATAATAGGAGAACATAGGAAAACTCATTTTTCCCTTTCCATTAAAAAAAGGACACATCTTAAAGAAATACATTCATGAGAGTGATGGAAGAGCAAGACCATTAGAGCGTCACTTATATATGGAAAACTTCTGTGTACACTATTAAAATATTAGTAAAACATTGTGGAGGGCTTTTTTGTGGAAAGGCAGGATATTAAACTGCATGACATAAATTGTAAAAATAGATTTTTTTTTTGAAACAGGGTCTTGCTATGTAATTTAGGCTGGCCTTGAACTCACTACGTAGTCCAGGCTGGTTCAAGCTCGCAGCGATCCTCTTACCTCAGCCTTCTGAATGCTAGGCCTATAGGTGTGTACCACCATGACCAGCAGAAGGTTACTTTCTTATGTTTAATACTATATCTAAATCTTTAAAATATTTTTAACTGAAAACATATAAAAATCCCTAAAGGATGCAATTTTCATGTAATTTCTACACGTTATACTGAAAAATATACTACCAAAACCATGTAGAAATGGACATAATTTTATTATCTACATCCATACTACAGAAAGCTTTCGATTAACTTTAACATATTATAAGTCAACCCAATAAATGTGTGGCCATGTACATGCTTTTGTAAATCTGTATAGCTTAGTTTCTAAGCATGTACTATTGCTTATATTTAATGTTAGTTTTTAGGTCCCTTGCCCACAACTCAATACTTTCAAGATCATCTGTTTTCATTATTCACGTGGTTTGTGCTTAAAATAGATGAATGAGAACATAAGCACAATAAGACTAGAAAAATAACTTTCTTACTACTAACTCACATAGACCACTGCATATTGACAGAATGGGCTTTGAGCTACATACTCTAATTTACATCTAGATTCCTGTCTAGATTACCTTCTACATTACTCGACGGTTTGCCTCCATCAGTACGGGAAACTGGAATTTGATTCCACTTATGTAATTACGGGAGAGTGGTACACTTACCTATAGCTGGGGTCACCATGATGAATGGGATATATGTCCATAGGAACATTTTCCATTGAAATATCAGTAAGAAGAAGGGACTTTCTATGTTTGAGGCTGCAGCGACTTCGAACCTCTTCAGACACTGTGAGTAAAGCTGACAGAAAAAAAGGCAGATTTAAAAAAATGTAACAAATCACAAGTGTGATCTAAAACATATTTCTTACAACTGCTTCAAAAAGATAGGCCTGTTAAATGTAGATGTAAAGAGCCCTAGAGAGAAATATGAGGTATAAGGGTATGAACACTTGGGATGGATTTTTGTTTATCTTCAAGGATTTGAGGTCTGGGGTTTTTTTTTTTTTTTTTGTCTTTTTCCTTTTTATCGGTACCAGGGATTGAACTCACGACTGCCTGCTTACAAGGCAGGCGCTTATGCCGCTGAGCTAAATCCCCAGCCCCTTGAGGTCTGTTTTAAAAGACTATACATAAATATTAGATAGAAGAAGAGATTTAATAACATTTTTATTTTTTCAACTCCTGCAATGTACAACTGGTCTAACACAAAAAGTAAGCAAGGCAGGTATTAATAAGTCCACTGAGGAAAAATACTGTGAGATATTAAATGATAAGTGTAAGGTTATACAGTTCAAACAAAAGGCAATCTGTACTTTCCATCCAACAACTATGTTGAAGAAATATGTGATATAAAATGCTAAGTGTTGCTGAGCAGAGAAACAATTAGATAAGAGCAAATAGGAAAGATTTAATGGGAGCAAACAGGGAAGGCTTAATGGAACAGTGAGGATGAGGTAGACATTTCAGGTAAAACGGCACAAGGAATAAAATCACCTGTAGGAGATGGAAAGCAGATTAGCTTAAAATCACCCATCCAGTTGGAGGATAATAAAAAAATAAGCCATGAAATTTACATAAAGGAGACAGACTAGGAGAGGGTTGTTTAAGGGCCCAGGACATTAGGCTGAGATGTTCAGATTTTATGACAGTAGGCAGCTACTGTACTGTCCTAAACAAAAGATGACAAAGAGAATACACGTCAGATTTTAATGCGACTCTTTTCTAAGGAAAAATATTTTGGTAAAACTTAAAAAACTGTAAACATTACAAAGTAGTATACTATGAACTCTCTGCTGCCAATTAATTAGCTGAAGGATGCATAGATAGGTATTTGTATGTTTCTGGTGTTCCCAAGATACAGATGTAGTATAAGTTTAATTTTGTCTAGTTTGTGTTTTTTACCTGCTAGATAAGCCACGCTCTGTGTATTCACCTCAAATTTGTCACAATTTCTATGTTTATTAACCAGAGTTAGTAATGTATGCAAAATTCTGACTGTTCTTGCCACAATGGCAGGTGAAGGATGCCTGTAACCTACAAAAAAAATAAAAAAATAAAAACAAGGATTTAATTTATTCCATAAAGACATATTTGAATTCTTATTCTGTGACGAGCAAGTCTGCAAGGAAAGGAAGTGTAAGTGACCGTTCCCACTTTCAAAAATAACTATTTTTAAGAGTGAAACATACACATACGACTATTTAATTACAAGATTAAGCACTAAAATGTGTAGAACAGAATAATGTTAAGAAGGAAGTGGGAAATTAAAGAAGATAACAGTGTTTCAGATCATCCAATCCTTAAAGCACCAAAGGGATGTTAAAAACGAAACAATGTACTGGAATTTCCCTTAAGATTCCTTTGAAAATAAAGTTCTACTGCTGAATAATTCTTTTTTTAAATTAAAATTTTAAAAAAATCAAATGATACAGGAAACATAGCTCTACATGTGCAAAAGAAAATCTTGATTTGAAAGTGATCTTCAAGCTGGGCCTGGTGATGCATACCTGCAATCTCAGCATCTGGGAGGCTGAGGCAAGAGGGCTGCCACAAGTTCAAGGCCAGCCTGAACTGCATGGCGAGACTCTCTCAAAAACAAACAAAATAAAACAAAACAAAAAGTGATATTTAATAGCTTTTAAGCACTAATATATTGCATTACTGATTGACTGACTGATTGAAGCAAGGTCTCACTATATAGGTTAGTCAGGTCTTGAACTCACTATGTAGCCCAGGCTGGCCCTCCGGAGTGCTGGGATTATAGGCATACACCACCATGCCCAGCTTATACTGCACTTTTAAAAAGTGATTTGAAGGCTGAAAATATCCAATACTCCTTTAGAAATACGTAGTAAGCAAGCACTTTATTAGCACATTAATAACAAGAGTTGTAACCCTTGTCCTGGTATCCTGCAGTAAGTGTAGTATCTTTTGGGCAAAGCTTACTTACTTATTTTAGGGATTAAAACTGTCAATATTTTTCTGTATTAGTACCAGATGCTAACTAAGTGTGCCACCGGAGCTCTGAAATTATCAGTATTTTCTGTAGAAGTGAGTAATGGAGAAACTTCTAGGTCCTTCAAACCTAAGAATTATTTAAATGGACGCAAAACTGTAGACTCAGATAGACTCAGATGTGTCGCCTCTGACCCACAAGTACATGCTGTCCCGGCTAACCACAGCCTCTGGCCCTGCCTGGCTCATGTTAATGAACCATGGCTATCAAGCAACGAGAAGTGAAGCCAGGTTAGAAAATGCATGTGCTCTGAAGAACAGCTAAAGATTGCTGGCTATAATCAGAATAGATATTTGCAGCGGTGGTGCTAGGGCCTAGAAAGGCATGGCCCTGTGATATATAATAATGGTATTAATCTGTACACCAGAAACATGTTGAAGAAAATGTACAATCAAATTTGTATAAGTAACATTTCCAAATATACATTTATCAAAAACATACTGATTTGGGGCTGGGGATTTAGCTCAGCAGCATAAGCACTGGTGCCTTGCAAGCATGCAGTCATGAGTTCAATCCCCAGTACCAAAATAAAAAGAAACCAAAAACCAAAAAAACATGCTGATTCATGGTCTTCTTATGGTGAGTAACAAAATATGTAATTATGACTAATAATTACTAATATTACTAATAATACAACTATTAAAAGGTTCAGTTGTTTTTTTGTTGTTGTCTTGGGTGGTAGTTCAGTTTCAGGTCTAGTGCTCTTATTTTATGAAAATTAACTCTTGCTTTTTAAAGGAAATCTGATATTTGACATGGAAATAAAGGTCTTTAAAAACATGTACTGAAAACAATTTAATAAGATTTGCATTTAAAGTAAATATATAGGCTGAGTTATTTCAAAGTAATCAATTATTTTAATTACTTCTGGCTTCAAGACAGTGTTTCACAAAAACATTCTGATACAGCGTTTCTTTACCTTTTAAGAGGTGTCCAACCAATGCAAAGTTAAAGTTAGAGTTGAAATTGAGTCCGACAAAATGATCCATTTGCTTACAGTGCCATTCCAGAGGATTCCGAATAGCCATAAATACTTCTTCTGGACTCTAATAAAAACAATGAAATGGTTGATGGAGTTCACACAGAAGCTGATTTATTTGCTCATTCATTTGTTTATTTACTTTTGTGGGACTGGGGCTTGAACCCAGGGCCTCACACATGGCAGTGAATTGCTCTTCCACTGATTTATTCCACTAACCTAAAAGCTTTCTCGGAAAAACATCACTTATAAGCTGAGCACTGTGCCACATGCCTATGATCTCAGCACTCTGGAAGGCTGATGCAGGGCAATCACAAGTTCAAGGCTACCCTGAACAACTTAATGAGATGCTCACTCACAATAAAAAGTAACAAAGGGCTCGAGGAAATGCACTGCAATCAACATTGGTTTAAAACAAACAAACAAAAAATTACTGATTTTTATTTGTAAACAACAGCTATGACAAGAAAAATACTCCTTTTAACTGAGAAAATTATTTTTAAACTACAGAAACCCACAGCAAAACACTTAAGGTACTATAAATTATTTGATATAAGACAGTCAAAAAGTAGGTAAATAAGATTGGAAGACTGAAACATCTTTGATTTATAATACACAAGTTCTGATACCAATTTACTTTTTTTTTGTAAAGAGGGAGTCTTGGTATGTTGTTCAGGCTGTTCTTAAACTGGTAGACTTAAGTGATCTCCTGCCTCATTCTCCCAACTAGTTGGGACTTCAGGTGTGCTCTCCATACCCAGCAATCATCCTTGTGCCTTTTAACAAGCTTTAGTAACTTGGATTCCTAGTATTCTGGCACCCTTGAGTCATGATTAGCTCCCGAGTTTTCTGGCAATGAAAATGCCAAGGCAGGTATTCCTAAATACAAACATACTTCATTTACAAATATTCTTAACATACAAATAGCCAATAGCTAGATATTACTTCAGGAAAGAGAAACAGGAAAGAAAGGTTCTAGTCCCAAATCAGATGTACAAATAGGAACAAATTATTTCTTTGCTGCTTCCTACTTAGTAGTATAGAGGGCCAACTGATAAACAGTAAGGTAACTTCTACTTCTATAATTTATTTACATACTTCCCAGAACCAGGATATTTTGGGTCTAAGTCACAGTACGAAGACTGAAAAAATATTGTTGAGACTGAGTATCACCACACTTAAAATTATGTTCCATCTTTCTAGCCACAGCTAATTTTTTTTTTTTTTTTTTTTTTTTTTTGGTCTTTTTGAGATAGCGTTTCACTATGCAGTTCAGGCTGGCCTTGAGCTCACTTTGTCCCCCAGGCTGGTCTCAAACTCCCAACAATTGTCCTGCCTCAGCCCCGAGTGCTGAGATTATAAGCATGCACCACCAGGTTTGGCTCAGTTAATTGCATATTAAGCAAGTTTGTTACATATTATATACATACTTTTTTTAAAAAGTTAGTTTTTCCTAAATTACTCCCATTTTTCCTCAAAGATAAATGTAATTTCATACTGCTATATTCCCTCCTCTATAACTCTAAACTACAAATTCATCCCTAATCAAGCTTAACAAATATTAAAATATGTGCTAATAGTATGTTTTAAAGTGAGATTAGGCAAAATAAAAAACTAGTAAAATCAAATACCCAAAAGTTTCCCTTAGATTCTCCACTTCTTTATTTGCTGTTAATTATATTGATTTTTTTTAAAGATAAGATCTCACTACATAGTGCAAACTGGCCTCAAAGTCACTATGTAGCCTCAAACTCCCAGTGATCCTCCTGCTTCAGCCTCCCAAGTGTGCCCAGCTTCATTAAACTGACTTTTCTTAAGTAGCATTTTCCAATAAGAAAAGGATTACTTTAAATTATTCTTTCATTTGTGAAATGGAAATAGAGAAAACTAACCTCTACCTTGAAGTTATGAAAATTCAAAATAACGAATGTACAGTGCTTAGCCACGGTGTCAGCATCATAGCTATTATTATAATTCAATATTATTAATCCCTGTTGTATTTACTAGTATCAGGCCAGTACCTTTTTTTAATTTTGTTTTTTATATATAGAAAATAAGTATTAAAACTTAAGCTTATTTTAAAAAGAAAAAACCCAAAATTTTAAAACAAGGTAATAGGAGAGTAACAATGTTAATAGATTGCTCACTGTTATTTTTAAATTAGTTACTCAGAGTACAAGATACAGGCATTTAATTGTCCAAACAATATCAGCATGAACTTTTCTTTTCAAAGTTAAGTAGTTTTTATGAGCTGATAACTCACTAACAATGAATTCCTTATAAATATTTGTATTTCAGGTAAGAACTTCTTTTGATACTGAAAGAACTACAATGAAAGAAAAAGGAGTATCAAATGTGAGTTAATACAGACCCCAAAGGAAAGCTTGCCTACCTTGTCATTGAATATTCGGAGACTATCTAAAGTGTGCAGGTTTTGTTCCAGAAGGGCAGTGCCTGCTGAATACAGGTTGATCTCATCCAGCTGCAGCACAGCCATGGCCACCCAAAAGAGGGCTCTGTGCAGTGGGGAGTCCTGGGGAAGAAGATGTGCTCTGGCTTAGTAAGACCAACTGGCAAACAGACACGTTTCTGCACGCTGTAGTGTGAAATGAAGTAGTCTATCTCATCCAATTATCCATGTTTTCTCTTTTGATGAGGGTAAATACATAGTAAGTCTGCTGTCCTTATAAGAAAGAAACTGGTAGCTGACCTTAGCAACCTGTTTAATTTCTTCCTGTTTGGAGTCTCAATTTTAAGCGCTAAGGTGTGCTGATCCTGCTGGAGTAACCGCTCTTGCATTTGCCACTTTTTCCTTTTGTCTCTGTCTGTCTCTCTGTCTCTTCGCCCTTCTCTTTCTCACCCCTCCCCTCCAAAATGGGACTGGATGGCGAAGCCTCATACAGGTGAGGCAAGCACTCTACTCATCAGTACCCCCAGTCCTATCCCTTCTTACTACCAATGACACCATCTCACCCCAGCCTCATGTATTCTAGATGTTGACTCCTTCTGCCTCCAGTTCTTTTCTAATCCAACGCATCCTAGTACTAGAATGCTCTACGTCCAGCTTTTGACTTTTTTTTTTTGGTTTGGCAGTAAATTCCCAAACTCCTTTCTGAAGAGTGTTTAATGTTACATTTGTTGTATTCAATCTTCACAAACTTCTTTCTTACTATTTTGTGGGTTTCTTGGAACTAGAATGTCCCGCCCACCACCCTGCCCTGCTCGTACAGTCCTGCTGCACCTTCACAGCTCAAGATGTGTTCGTTTTCTCTCTATACTAAATCCTATCAGTCCCTTTCATTTAAACTCTAACCTTCAACTTCTTATCACTTATACTACTGCAGTGATTTCTTGCTGCTCTGAATTCAAGCTGTATGTTATTGGTAATTCTTAGTTAGCACTGTGCTATATAAGAGAATAGAAGGACTTTAGAGTCAGACACCTTTACATTAGAATCAGAGTTCTGTGTTTTATTAGGAATGGGACTCTGGGAAAGTCAATCTTTCTGCGTCTCATTTTTACTATGTAAAAAAAAAGATAAAAGAATAACTTTATATCATTTAAGATTAAGATGTCTGTAGGATATTTACCTTTACTAAGAACATAATAGGTATTATTTTTAGTACCAGGAATCGAACTCAGGACTATGTGCTTGCGAGGCAGGTGTTTATGCCACGGGGTTATATCCCTACCCAATAGATCTGCATTCATGCTTTTTTTTTTTTTTTTTTTTCGTTCTACCAAGAATTGAATTCAGGACCTTGCACTTGCCAGGCAGGCACTGTACTGCTAAGCTGCACTCCTGGCCTAACTACTTCTAAGACTGGCTTATCTCTGAACTCAATTCAAAGTACTGTCTGCCTCTAGAAACTGGAAGATAATACTCTGCCATTATCTTGTCTATTCATTTTATCAGTTTGGAACCCATGATGCCCAGATGCTAAATCACCTGCTGAAGGTAAGAAAGATGACATCAACTCAGCTCATGATAAAGAATGGCTATGCCATTTTACTCCTTTTAAATATTATTAGGGCCAGGCCGGGGATTCAGCTCAGCAGCATGAGCACCTGGCAGGTGAGTGCGAGGTACCAATAAATAAATAAATAAAATTTAAAAATAATAAAATAAAAAGAATACTAAATAATAAATATCATCAAGGCCTTGTATATGAAAGGTCTCCTCTATCTTTGAGCTATGCCTCTAGCCTAGCATCAAACACTTTTGAGGATAAGATTTACTTCTCCACAGTATTGATCACTAAGTAACATACTAAGTATTTTACTTAGTTTATCATCCATCTACTCCTCAACCTCCACATCTATCCAGGAATGTAAATACCATAAAGACAGGCAATTCTACTGGCTTTGTAATTGCTACCCTCTAAGACAGTATCAAGCATATAGCAGAGGCACAAATAACAGAAAAAATTAAGAATACAAAATGATTTCTTTAGCACTGGTGAGGTTTAAAAAAATTATAGGTACCTGAGAACACAAACTGCATTACCTATTCTTTTGCTAATGTATCTCCTTCAAACAACTAAAAAAAATTTTTTTTTGAAACAGGATCTCACTCTGTAGTCTAGGCGGGCCTTGAACTTGAGGTGATCCTTCTGCTTCAGCCACTCAAGTGCTGGGATTACAGGCGTGTGCCACCATGCCCAGCAAAACAACTAAATTTTATGGCAAGAAGTTCTGCTTTCACTACAGCTTTTTCCTATCATCACTTCTCATTTTCTGAACTCTTTATAAGAAAAGAACATGTAATACTAATACCCAAAAGAAAGAAAACTCATGTTCTATACAATAATTACCTTATTAAGTAGTGGCTGTAATTTGGTGAGTGCTATTACTGTAGCTTCTATTAGAACTTGGCTGTTGTAAGTATCAGGTCCTTTTAAGCAGCTCTCAAGTGCCTTTTAGGGAAACAGAATTCTTCATTTTACTTTCACTGAAATAAAACATTATCTCTAAAACTGAATCTCACCATCAGTTTAGGACCATTTACTTACTTGATAAGTATCAGAATTATTTGTAACACAATGATTATCTTGGTAGTCAGAGTAATACACAGTTGATTTGTTTTAAAAATTTCTATACTATATTTGAATAGGTCAAACATTACAGTAATTATAAATTATGTAACTCAATAAGGCTATAATTTTACTATATAATTAAGTGCTTTGAAAACTGATGAAACAATAAGGGTACCTGCTTAGCAAAATAGGCAAAATACTTACTTTTCTTTGAAAGACATTTAAAGAGGATTTCTTCAAAGAATTATAATAAGAAAAATAGTAAAACTCATTTTTAAAGGTTACACAAACAACATACAAGGCACTTTGTTAAATCTAAATGACTTTTAAGAAGTGGAAGACATGATTTACAACTTGGGAGCCACAAATATTTGAGAGAAGGGAGAGAGAAGTACCTTGCTAAGAATACGGATAATCTGCTTTATTTGCCCATGAGACACTCGTTTGCTAATACAGCCAAAGACCACAAGAGCTCTTGGTTGCAGGGATGGATTGTACTGGAATGCAAATCTGCAATTAAAAGATCCACAGACTTTATGAAAACTGTTGTGTGTGTTTACAGAGTACACTAAGTAAGATTTACTGCTTGGACACTAATACCTTGTTTTCTTTTCTTTTTTTTAATTGTAGGGATCAAATCCAGGGCCTTGCACGTGATAGGCAAGTGCTCTACCACATAGCTATGCCCCCAGTCCCTGTTTTTTCAATAATACACATACTTTTACAATTCATTTTTAATTTGAGACACACCTTTGGGCTAGTTCTGTCCACTGGTCCAGCCATTTACATGTTGGAATATCTCTCATACATGCCTGGGGGCAAAAGAAGAAAACGCTGAGTATGTATGTGTACATACATTTTTAATAAACATTTAAATAAAATTCATTATAATATCATTACTGCAAACACATGACTTTTTTCTTTTCAGTGTTACTGGAGATCGAAGCCTTCTGCCACTGAGCTACACCCCAACTCCTTAAAGCCTAGAGCCTCTACAATGAGCTACATCCCCAGCCTTTTTTTAAAAAATTGAGTCATGGTCTCAGTTGTCCAGGGTTGGCTTGAACTTGTGATCCTCTTGCCTTGGCTTTCTGGAGTGCTAAGGTTTATAGGTATGGGCCACCATTCCTCTATACACATGATATTTTTTTATTTCTTTTAATAGGTGACATTTGTTACCGATAACACATTCCATGAAAGTGTTTTAAATATTAACTGTATGATAGCAGAATCAACTGGTATTTTTGTACAGCAATAGTGGATTTTTAAAAAATGATTTTTCACTTTATTTCTTATCATTTTCTCCTACATACCTCCATGATCTCCAACAAAGCTTCTGTGACTGTTTCTAAGGATGTCAATGCAAAAGTCTCCCTCTCATAGGAGCCAGGAGAGAATGACCTATCTCGGTAACTGGATCGGAAGGCTATGACAGCTGCTGATTTAACTTTGCTAATGCCAAACAGCAAGTAAAATTTGGGTAATGAGAACTCTGTTAGACTGAGTCTCAAAACTTGCTTGGTTTCTTCTGTAAAAGAGAAAAGAAACAAGACACTTGAGGATGCTGTTTCACTTTGAAAGTAGAAAATGTGATCATCATATAAAAACATGCGCCTTAGGTTAAACCACTAGACATGTGTTAGTGCCCACTGCTTTAGCTCCACTTAACTACAGTACTATTAATATAATGCTGCCAACTTAACCTGTTTAGCTTATACAGTATAAGCACCTAAAGATTAGTTTGATATGCAAAGTAACTTACTCCTTTTCATTTTGATAAAATTTCAACTCATTATTGTACACTTACATTAGAGGCTTGGTGTTAAGACACCACTCTAAATAGTAAGAAATTATAGTAGTCAGGGGAAGTAAAGTGGACAGAGGAACTGATGCAATGCAAATTACTTTCCTGGAACTTACCGCTGAAGTGAAGCTGTGAACAAGTACACAAAGAGTGGATGATATTAATGACTAGTCCATGTGTGGAAGCTCGAAGGGACAACGGGCCTGTGGCTACTAAGAAGGTAACAACGTGGAAGAGGTAGGGGAGATGAGCTGCCACATCCAGGGAGTTATTGAAGGACAACATCAACATGTAGCGGGCTAAAATAGCAATATCATCCCACATAAGATGTTGTTCCAAGGTGGGCGTCGGAGACAAGCATGTCTTGTCAATTATTTTGCACATCCTCCCAATAACCTGTGAAGAAGCAGGGCTTTAAAAGATACGGGACTAAAAGCTGTATTACAAAACTTCAGTATCTTAACTATTAAGTATCTAGTTAAAAACAAAATCCTCTTCAAGACAGAAACAGATACATTATGCCACTGACAGAAGGCAAAGGAAAAGTGATTACCTTGCTTGAAACCAGTTTCACATTTCCAGAGGCTAAAGCTACAGCAGTATCTGCCATCACTTCAGCTTTTATTGATCCCAAGCCTCCGGTTGCACTGGTTTTGATGAAACTGTCTAGTACAACATCAAGCAGATCTGTAATCTATGAAAGCAGGGAAATAGCATGTTTTCAATTACACTACCAACTTTTTTTAATTTAAAAATATTTAAAGAGCAGCCCAATCAACATGAAAATTCTCTTTTACTTGAAGCCCCTCCAAATACCAGATTTTATTTAGAGATATACCAGTAAATATCATATATCATAAACTAATGGAAAGATTAAGATATTCACTTGGATCCTTCAGAGTAAGAGATTAATAAAGTTTAAAAATTTGTCTTACAAAGTTACAAAGCCATTTCTGTGTTCTTCTAAGACAGTAATGATGTGACCAATCTTACTGTTTTGAAATACAGAAAGTGTCAGCGAGTACTGAGAAATTTTCTAGGGCTATGAAACTGGCTCTGAGGTCTCTTTAAAATTATGTGTATGATTTACAGCACTGCTTGATTAAGCATACTGCTTTCTTAAGTGTTTACTTTGAAGAAACAGTATATATAATTCTCATCAGATTAAAAGTTATTTATTTTAATTAGTTAGTTAATTAAGACAAGGTCTCATTCTGTAATCTAGGCTGGCCCTGAACTCACTATGTACCCTGGGCTGGCCTCAAACTCAGGGCCTCAGCCTCCAAGTGCTGGGATTACAGGAATGTGCCACCACATCCATCAATACAACCTGTGTTTTAACAGTGGTATTCTTACTGCTAGCACTATAAATGAAAGCAAATGTCCCAGAAACATCCATATGGAAACATTTACTGAGCTGGGTGTAGTGGTCTGTGCCTACAGGCTCAGCACTCTGGGAGGCTGAGGAAGGAGATCACAAATTACAGCCCTGCCTGAACCTGGGACACAGCAAGAGCCTGTCTCAAAACAAAAAATAAGAAAAGGCTTGGGATCATGGCTCTGTGCAAAGGCTCTGGTTTAATATTTGAAGAGAAGATACAGGACACAGGACAGAGGACAGGAGAGAGGAGTAGGGGGAGGCATAGTAAAAAGGAAAAAAGGGGAGGGAAGAAAGATGAGAGGAGAGAAGGGAAAAGGGGAGAAGAGGGGAGGGTAGAGGAGGGAGAGAAGAGAGGCAGAGGAAAGTTATTTAATGACATCCCTGGTATGCAGAGGTTGGAGTACATTTTAAATCACTATTAGAAATGCAACTGGATTTCTACAATTACCTATAAAATTAAACCACAAAAAATAGTAAAATAGTTAGTTTTTCTCTGGTTTTGAGACATGCATTAGATTTTTATAATTTCAAACCAGATGAAGAGGTTGGTAAGTGTCTGCTTGCTTTAGAAATAAGGAACTGCTTTATATAGTTACTGTGTATCCTCTGTGTCTAGTACAAAGAAGGCATCAAATAACTATCTGTACAAAGGAGATACTACATAAACATTTGCACAAACTCCATACCTGCCCAAGGCTCCCCCATATTTTTGCTTGAATAGATGGATACATCTGTTTCTCATTTATAGTCATTGTTATCAGCTTGTCAAGAATAGCAGTAACTCTTTGTCGTTTGGCATCATCATTATGCTTACAAAAACGGACGAGATTTGACAACCATGGGGTCATATATTCCAAACAAAGGTGTTTCAATTCAATACCTTGAAAAAAAAATACACTATCAGCATAGACTGTCTATGAAAACTACATCAACAGTTATGTTAACATAAAGGGTTTTGGGTTAACATAAAGGGCAAAATACGGTCCAAAGGAAAGGGACTTGACAAATACATGTTTGAAGACAAGAAGACACTAAGCCTTGAAGAAAGTAATTGTAAAATCCAGTAAGTCAGTTTTTGAAAAGTTCCTTTTTTTTGCCTTTTTAATAATTTTGTTTCTGAAGGATTTTTATTACATTTCATCTCACTATAACAGGAATATGTAACAATTATAGTTTAGTAAAAAGAAAGCATTATCATAAAAGTGAAAGTAGTATTAATATATTGGCGTATCACCTTATCTCTCCTTAAGCTTTCAAATTTTTGCAGAGATAATGTACATTTATGTGTGTGTCTAAACATTAAAATCTCCAATCCATGAAAACTAGGACTTCGCTACCTATGTATTGTATGCTGAATCTTGAATCCTGAATATTTTTCCTTTAAACATTATATTGACATTATTTATTTATGGTTACACATTCTACAAAACTACATTTAAAATTCTTTTTAATTTTAATTTTTGAGATAGGGTCTTGCTATACATCAGGTTGACCTTGATCTCACTATGTAGCCCAGGCTGGCCTTGAACTCAGGGCAATCCTCCTGCCTCAGTCTTCTGATTGCTGGGATTACAGGTGGTTCCAAAAACATTTTCGAATTTATTTTTTTAACAGACTTTAGAGGCTGGGGGTTTAGCACAGTGGCACAAGAACCTGCCTGGCAAGCATGAAGTTGTGAGTTCGATCCCTGGTACCAAAAAAAAGAAAAAAAAAAAAAAAAAAGACTTTAGAATATAAGATACACAACACAAAATTAGGCATTTTAACTATTTTTAAGTGTGAAGTTCAATGGCATTCACATGGTTGTATAAATAATGCCTATCCATCTCCAAGACATTATCTTCCCAATCTGAAATTCTGTAACAAAAACTTATTTTTCCTTTTTTTTTTTTTTTTTTGGTGATACTGGGAATTCTATACAAGGCCTCGTAGATGCTACGAAGTACCCGCAAACCCCTGTACTTGGACTTGGGACTGAACCTGAACTACAACCCCAGCCCTCTTGTTATTTTTGATTTTGATTTATTTTGCTAAATCATTAAGTTTCCTAGGCTAGGCTTGAACTCATGATCTTGTTTCCCCAGCCTCCTTCTGGGATTACAGGTGTGCACTACCACACCCAGCTAAAAAAACCACTTTAATTAAAACATCCATATAGAGAGCCAACAATTTGATCAGTTTTCTATTTGATTGTTGGATTCTCTGCAAGTAGGCAGTAAATCCATGACAATTAGAGGTCATAACAAGTGTTTACTTTTGATGATGAGATGGCATTGAGTAATAAAAGATACTTCTGAATCTTGGAAATGTTCTGGATCTGAAAGAGACATTCAGACACACTCACATGTAAAAGTGTGTTAAATTGTTGCTGGGCATGGTGGTACATGCCTGTAATCCCAGCACTTGGGAAGGAGGTGGGAGGACCACTATGACGGAGGACAACCTGGGCTACAGAGTGAGTCTAGGGCCTACCTGAACTACACAGCGAACTATGGTGATTCTTTAAGGCAAATTCTAAAAAGCAGAATTACGAGAGCAAAGATATGACTATCCTTAACCATCCTGAAATCACTTCCAAATTACTTTCTAGTAAAATTATCCCACTTAATGCTGCAGAACATTAGCACTTGCTTTTTCATTTTTAAAGTGGAATATGCTAGCTCATTATTCTTTCAATTTACATCCCTTTGAACTCAGCGAACACAGGGCCATCCCTTTTACTCTGAGTCAGGGTCTTGCTAAGTCACCCAGGCTGGGCTTGCGTTTGTGTATCCACTCTAGTCTCTCACCACGCTTGTGTAGCACTCATTTGTTTGGCATACATTATTCATTCACGTTTTTCAGAAACAAGAGTCTCCTTAATGTAGCCCAGGCTGGCCTCAAACTCATAATCTTCCTGTCTCTCCAGTGCAGGGATCATAGGCATGTGTCACCAAGCCCAGGTGTATATTACTGTTGATTCATTCTTAAGTTATAAGAGCTCTTCATGACTAGATATTAATCTTTTCTCATATTTGGTCCAAGTTTATCTTCTGTTTACATTTATTGTTCACATTCTTTGTTGAGACATGTTTTGAAATTTTTCAGTCAAAGCTGTTTGGCTACTTTGTATCATTTTTGTTTCACATGTCCTCATTCATCTAGAAAGCAGTTCCTTACTCTTCTTTTATTAATGGTTCTATTTTTTTAATTGAACTCTTAATTATACCTAAATCTTATTTGGTTATCTTGTAGTGTTCTGAAATGATTTAATATTTCTCTCCCTCTCCCTACTCTGCCACTCCCCCTAACTCTCGTTCCCCCTCCTCCTCTGTAATGCTGGGAATCACACCCAGGGCTTTGTGCATGCTGGGCAATCACTCCACCACACTAGCCCTGTGATGCTATTTATCACTGTTTTGATCTGACTGCTGAATCTTTTATTTTTATTAAAAAATTTTGGGGGGAGTTCTTTTAAGAGAAGTCTCACTATAAAGTTCAGGCTGGCTTTGAACTTGACTATGTAGCCCAAGCTGGTCTCAAACCTGTGGTCATTTCCTGCTTCAGCCTCTTGAGTACTGTGATTACAGGCACGCACCACCAAGTTTTTGACTGCTAATTCTTAAACATCCAGACATCTATAGTTTCAAGTTTGTTTTCTTTACTTTTAGTATTTTCTTAACTATTCTTGTACTTTCATGTAGAACTTAAAAATCATTTAAATTCTGTCTCCAATCTCAGTCCTCAAATTCCATGGCTATTTTTATGAGACTGCATTTCAAATTTTCCTCTGTAGGAAGAACTGTTCATGTATGTACATAATATACTTGGCCTTTCACTCAAATATTTTCTTATGTTAATACCTATCAATAAAGCTTTATACTTTTACTGTTTTGTCATATTTTTTTAACTTTGGAAGTACGAGGGATGGAACTCAGGGCTTCTGAACTGAGCTGTATCTCCAGGACTGACATTTATTTCTTTATTTAATTCAAGACAGCGTCTTTATGCTTCAACTCAGGCCAGGCTGAAGCTTATAATCCTCCTGCCTAACCTTCCTAGAGTGCTGGGATTACAGGTGAGGGACACCATTCTCACACCACATTTTATTAGGCTTTAATTTTTGTATCTTTCACTTGGAAAATATAAAGTGACCTAGTTGTGATGAACTGTTAAATCTCTACATTACCTTCTATGAAAAGATAAAGAAATGTGTCAAATGAAGAAAAATAAAGACATATATATTATGTCTTGGAAGAAAATATTAAGAACTAAGCTGGGAAATCAACATACTTCTATAAAGATGGACACATAAAAAACCGATCCTAAATTTATGAGATTAAAGCCAACTCAGAACTAACTCTGGTCCATGTATCATGTACCAATCACAGGAATCATATATGTCCAACAAAAATTACAATTTCCTTAAAATCAGGAAACAATATAGATGCCATTTTTTGTGGACTTTTTCACTGAGGAAAAAAATGCTGAAGCTCATTAAACAGTGAAAAAAATACTTTAAAATGGTTCAAAAACATGTAAGGTAACAAAATCTTGCCATTTTGCTTTTATTGCCAGAATTTGGTGGAGTTCTCAATGTGTCCTATCATGGATTTCTTTCAGGGTTCCTTTAATTACAGAGTACCACAGATGAAAAATGTTAAGAGATTAACAAGTAAAAATAAAGCAAGTGAAAGGTTTCACTGGTAAGTTCTGAAACAAAAAGGTTTTGTTTGAATTTTCTTAGAATCATTGTTAGTATTAAAGAAAATTATCATTACTTACTAGATTTGCTAAATCCAGAAATACACTCTTCCAAAAATTCTAACGTGAGGTGTGGCTCATTGGCTGCCAGTGTTTTACTAATAGAGACAATAAAGAGGGTGTTGTTGGCAGGGATACATAAACCTGATGTCTCTAGTAACTGGCCCTCGATTTTTAAATTAAAAGTACAAGTTAAGGCACACAGAAGATTATAGGCAGCTGACCTAGGAGAAAACACAAATGAAGTTGTTTTAAAACTTTTTCCTTACCATACCAGTTTTTTTCATAACATATAATGTGAGGTTCTATTACAAAGCATGAACAACTATTTTTAAGTTTTATGATCAATTGCAGAAAGACATACGCCAAACCCAAAAAATCCCTGAATCATTTAGGAAAGAGAGACTAGACAAAACTGGAAGAGCAAGGTGAGACCCTTCAAACATGTGGGGGTAGGCCTTGCTAGACGGCATTTCAGTGGAACAAACATGAGAGGTTTACGGTCCTAAGGTAGATCCACAGAAAAATAGACTATGGCGCATCATGTTTTTAGTGAAGACGAAACTCAAGTTTTGGTTTCCACTCTCTTAGATCCTGTTATAATGAAGATCATGAGAAATGAAGTAGCCACTCATCAAATTAAAACACGCTTTAAGCATCATTTGAATTTCTCTGTCCTTATAAGTTATGCTACAAACTGAAGGTCAAACCCAAAGTTAAGTATAATCCTTCATTTTTTTTCTTCTACAACCTCATTACATCATACATAACCACTGAAACAAATAAAAAGCTGTAATACCCAGGTTCCATTAGAACCAAATATTCTCTTATAAATGGCTGAAAATATATTTAAGCATTTTAGGAGATGGCTTAAAGAACTCCGATTCAATTTTAAAATTCTATTTTTTTCTTCATGCAGCAAAAGAAATAGTTTACTCCGTAAATTTCAGGATTTCCTTACCTCTGAACTGTCATCAGCCACTGTATTTTCGCGGCCACCACACAGAAGGAAAAAAGTCATGAACATTTAGTTTGTCCAAAAGCCTTTATTTGGGGATGACAAGCTTCAGTAAAAACTACAAGTTATCAACTTGTACCAGCAGGAAAGAGCACAAGTTCACTCACGCAAACTACGGTACTGTCAAAAGACTGTTAGCATTCTTCAGCAAAGCACACTGGATCAGAAATGACTGGCAAGTGCACAGTTTCATTTTCCTCAATTAAAAATGTTAATGTTTCTAAGTTTATTTATTGTTTATTAAATCCTGGGGATTCTAAGTTACTCTATTTTGTTACTACTGTTTATTCTGTATAATAGCAATAAAGAATTGGGCTTCCTCTGCTGGCAATAGATGCCACAGAAATGATGAGATAAAGGAAGCCAGGCATATGCAAAATTCTGTAAACCATTTATGGGAGTTCATGGATGAACCCCATGAAAGTCAGCCAGATTAAAAGATCTAACTAATTTGTTTACTTTTTCCCTATTTTTTGTTTGTTTGTTTGTTTGAGACAGAGTCTAACTATGTAGTTCATGCTAGCCTTGAACTCACTATGTAGCTCAGGCTGGCCTTGAACTCACAGTGATCCTCCTGCCTCAGCCTCCCCAGTGCTGGGATTACAGTCATGTGCCACCAAGTCTGGCTTTCTTTTCTCCCTTTTAAATGAAGGACAATTTGGAATCCTAAAAGACCCACTATAAAACCTGTATTTTATACTTTTATATTCTTCCCAGAGAAGTTTCTGAAGCTAAGCATTTAAACAGGTTGAGTATCCCTTAGCAAAGTGCTTAAGAACACAAGTGTTTCAGATTCTTTCTCTCTCTTTTTTATTTTGGAATCTTCTTACAGACTTAATTGGGTAGCTATCTTTAATTCAAAATTCTAAAATCCAATATGCTCTGAAATATGAAATGTTATATGAGTCCTGGACAGAATACTCAAAAATTTTCAGATTTTGGAGCACTTTGGATTTACATTTTCAGTGTAGGTATGCTCAACTCTTTTCTGTGAAAATCCTAACAATCTGAAGGTACTTGAGATAAGAAATTATCCTAAAATGAAGAAGAGAGTGGAGAAATGAGAGAAGAGGTACAAAGAGACCTTAGAAGGGAGGAAGAAGGAAGTGGAGGGGTACAGTATTTACTAAGCACAAATGGTTTCCTTGGTGATGCTAACACATATGATAGGAAGCTAGGGCTCAGAGACTTCAGTACTTCCTCAAAGTCACACAAAGCCATACAGCCGCAGATCTAGATTAAATGAAATCGACTGACTCCACAGGTCATGTTTCTTCCATATTTACATTCAAATTAGTAAGAATATAAAAAACCATTTATACTCTATTCAGATCACATATTGGTCTTAGAGTTCTTTCAAGAATCCTATTAAAGTGACATTTGAGATGTGATCAAATATAAAATAAATATTTAACTTTTAAAAAATTTATTACAGCAAAAGACATATTTGTATTAACTCCCCTCAAAATATTCCGGGTAACTTCAAACACATTTATCCTACTATTCTTGTCATTTTCTAAAGCAGTTGTGGAAGTTCTGCTTTGTGACTGGTTTTGAGGTTCATTTGCACTGCCATGGCTGCCTTCATGTCCTGAATCAATTCAAACGCTTACTTTTCATGATCATTTTTACCTTTATCAAGAACCAGCAGTTGCATGTTGCAGCATCCAGTAAACAAGGTAGATGAAGACACCAAGCTGTGTTTTTATAAGCCTGTTTTTCCACTTAATTGGCACTCAAGTGTCATTCACCAGATTTTTGATAACAGCTCCTAAAGAGGACTTCCAGAACTGCTTCAGAGAGTGGCAAGAACACAGATAAGTGTGTCTGAACCAGTGAGGAGCATTTTAAGGAAGATTAATGGCAACAGGTCTTTTACTGTAGTAAGTCTTAAAATGTAAACATTTAATGTACATTTGGATTATCTCTTTGTAAGTGGAAAATACGCAGTAATGTTCTTTGAGTTACTGAACATTAAGTGTCCCTTTGTCTAACAATGCAAATCTGATCTGACAGGAAACTTAGCAGTGATATATATATATATTTTTTTTGTCTTTTTCGTTTTTATCGGTACCAGGGATCGAACTCACGACTGCCTGCTTTTGAGGCAGGCGCTTATGCCGCTGAGCTAAATCCCCAGCCCCAGTAGCAGACTTTTTTAAAAACAAGTTTCTTTCTTTCTTTTTGCTTTTTTGAGATTGGGTCTTACTAAATAGTTCAAATTGGCCTCAAACTCACTGTAATCCTGCCTGAGCCTCTCAAGTGCTGGGGTTACAGGTGTGTACCACCACTACTGGCTTAAAAGGAGATTTACTTTAAGAAAAAAAAGTCTGCTATGTCTATGTTGTCTGTTTTAGATGAAAGTTTCCTGGAGAAAGAACACACATTGGTTTAGAGTGAATCACCCTATTGAGAATTCCACAATTCATGTGAATACCCCACAATGCAATGAGATCACACTGGTTAACCAACACAGCATACCTTCCAATTTACAGTACTAAGAAACAGGCTTTCTTAAGAGCTTATTTAATGGTCTCTTTTGGAAGAGCAAATCCTGGATAAAGCTGAATTAAAAATGAACCAAAAAACCTACCGTAAACTAGGGTCTGAACTGCCTAAATTAAGTAATGCAATATTGAGCAGTGTCCCAGGGACATCTTTTGGCCGGATTTTGGTGTGCTGGGGGATGGAGTCGGGCTGTGACAGTTCCCAGCGGGTCCGGATATGAATGATAGACTGGACGATAGCTTCACACTCCTGGTGCATGAAGGTAAGCGGTGTGCCCTGGTTGGCAATGGTTAAGGTGAACTGGTTCTCATCCACTAGGCAGATTTCTTCGATTTCTGAGGCATAGTAGATGTCGTTTAGAAAGACTGACTGCCCCAGGACCTTTGTTCTCTCTGCCGAGGTTACTTGTACAGCAGTAGAACCAACCTGAAAAGTGAGGGTGAAGGGATAGAGTGGAGAATACTTAAGTTCCACCACGTAGAATTTGAAGAGGCTCCAAAAAAACCAACCAACCAACCCACTCATCCAACCACTATGTTTGCCATTTAAGGAGTCACTACCATTATATATTCAAATAGGTTCAATAATTACTGTGATAAATACCCTCAAAAAAACAGAAAACAATTTAATTTTTAAAAAGGCTGAGATGCTTATAGACAAATACTAATTTTATTCAGAAAGATGGTGCTTCTCACCAAAAAAAAAAAAAAAAAAAAAAAAAAATCATTACAAATAAGAACTCTGGATGTAGAGGATGTAGCCCACAAGGTACTTTCCACATTTTTACTATTTGACTAACAACAAATTTTAGCACCTTTTCTACAGCACTCTTCTGCCTCCAACCCAATCTAAGGTACAGTTAAGTGTACATGTCTCACGTTTCCTGCAGGACCTCTATAAAGAGAAACTTTATCTTTACACATCTGGACTGACATTAGATATACAGCTACAAGGGTACATAGGGAGGTCTGGTTTGTTAAGAGAAACAATGAATCAAAAAACACGAAACAAAACTTGCCTTAATAGAAACCTTGGTATCTTTGTGGGCTAGCTTGAGAGCATTATGGAACACCTTCAGATCCTCTTCCAAAGCCAAGGTGGCAGCGGGCAGTTTCTGCTGATCATGCTCTATGTGTTCAGCCAGTTTCCCAGGACAGTCTATGAAAATTAGTCTCTTGCTGCCTTTGAGACCAGTCAGCAGCCTCTCATGATACTTGGTATACTCCCTAACCCAGGAGTTACAGTTATAGATATACACTGCAGAGACGTTGTCGTAAGCAAAGCCAGGAAAAACAACAAACCACTTGGAGAGAAAGTCCGTTTTAAAGCGATTGCTAGGCCCAGTATGGGTAAGGTCCACTACAATTTCATATGGCTTTGCATAATATGGCTTTAAAGTGAGCAAGACATGATATATCAGCAAATCGCCATTGATTTGACCAGTTTTGAACCTAAGGAAGATAAAACAAAAGGCCAAAGACTTAAAAAGCTCTGAATAAATATACAAATGCCATTAATCTATTTTTTAAATTTTCTGACTTACTTTCTAGAGAACACAATAATAGAAGACAATTATTCTAAGTCTAAATTCATAGTTCCCCTACTGTCTGTCCCTGATGGTCTCTAGTGCTGGAGACTGAACCCAGGGTCTCTGCACTGAGTCCCCAGCATTGTGTTTTGTTGTTGTTGTTTTGGTTTTTTTGAGACAGGGTCTTGTTATGTAGTTGGGGCAGGCCTTGAACTCACGATGTAGTCCAACCTGGCCTTGAATTTGTGGTAATCTTAATGCCTTAGCCTACTGAGTGCTGGGAGATTACAGGTGTGCACCCCTACACCTTTTTTTTTTTTTTTTTTGTAGTTTTTGGAGACAAGATCTCACTATGTAACCACAGTGATCCTCCTGCTTAAACTCCAGAGTGCTGGGATTACAGATGTGCACCATCAGGCCTGGGCTTTCTAAAATTTGGAGACAGAGTCTCAATCCCTAAATTGCCCCAGGCTGGACTTGAACTTGTAACCCTCCTGCTTCAGCCTCTCAAAGTGCTGGGATCACAGGTGTGCACCTCCACGCCTGGCTGGATTCAGGTTTTAACATGCTCATGATGGCTGTAATTTATGTTTCATTGCCAGGTGTTGCCAGTAACAACTTGGATAGGAACCACCAGCCTGGAGCTCTGAAGGAAAACTGTTTTAGGCTGTAGCCAACTCATCTATCATACCTTGACCAGAGATTAGTTCACTCAATTGGGATATGAAGGAAAAGCCTGCCAAAAACTGAAGAGAAAGAGCTGTGAAATGAGTGAAACATAGGCTAAGTTTGAGTTGTAGAAAGTGTCTTTTGAGGTCAAATTTTCCCCTGGACTTTTCAGCTGTGTAAGCCAGTTAACACTTATTTTTTTATTAAGCTAAATTAGGTCAGATGTTGTTCAAAACCAGAGTGCTAATCAGTATGAGCAGCTATGATAAGAAAGTCATGAAGAACATGTTACCAGAATTTGAAATCCAAAAAACTATACTAACTTAGAGCCAATGTTTTCAATACTTGATGATTCTAGTAATAGTATTGCTAAATTTGTGAAAGTAAATACAGTATCTTCTAGTTTTTAATTGTTCTGGGTGAATATCAAATAATATGACAAGCTAAACAAGAGAACAGTGTTTCAAACAAGAGAAAAGTGTTTCAAGATAAAAGAAAATGTACAGGTTGAGCATCCCTAATCTGAAAAGCTTCAAAATTTCAAACTTTGAATGTCAACAAACATTACAAGTGGAAAATTCACATCTGATCCTATCTGATAGGCTGTAGCCAAACCACACGCATACTAAAAATACTGTATAAAATTCTCTTCAGGTGGGCTGGGAATTTAGCTCAGTGGCTCAAGAGCTTGGCTGGTAAGCACAAGGTCATGAGTTTGATACCTAGTACCAAAAAACAAAACAAAACAAAACAAAAAAAAAACAAAAACAAAAAACCCTTCAGGTTGTATGTGTAAGGTATACATAAAAAATGAATTTTGTGTTCTGACTTGGGTCCCAAACCCCAAATATCTTATATACATGCAAATATTCCTAAATCAAAGAAGATTTGAAATCCAAAACATGTCTGGTACAAAAGTATTTTTGCATAAAGGGTACTCAACCTGTATATATATAAAATGTACCATGGGGTCACTTATCAAAGGCAATGCAAAACGAGAGATCAACACAAACTGTGTGTGAATGAAAGAACTGCATGGAAGACTCAGCAGCTGAACTGGGTAGAAGGAATCTGGCACTCAACAAGAGAAGGGAGCAGGCAAACAAAAAGAAAGAAAGAAAGAAAGAAAGAAAGAAAGAAAGAAAGAAAGAAAGAAAGAAAGAAAGAAAGAAAGAAAGAAAGAAAGAAAGAAAAAGAAAAAAGCAGAAAAGAGAACTAAAAGCATTACATAAACAACTAGTTTAGCTGTAATAGAAGATTCATGTAGGGAAGTTTTGCGAGATACAGCCAAGAGAAGTCAAATTATTAAGTGCAAATGTTCACTGAAGAGATTCTAGCTTTCAAGGGACTATTTCTCAGAGTATTTCTGTGTACCACTGGCATCAGAATCAACTGTGGTATATGATAAAAACGGAATTTCCCCATCCCAGTCCCAGCACACTAAATATGAATATACATGGGGCGAGGTGGCACTTTTCTTGCTTTTAAAAAGCCTTTCATATGATCTTCACAAACATTTCTTAATCTCTACTGGAAATGGAAAATTACTTAACATTAGCAAAATTAATAAAGGACTAGCATGACCAAAGCTATCTATCTATCTATACAAGATAGATGAAGAGGTTGGAGCTTAGTAAAAGGGATACTATACTCATTACTTGACTAGGTATGACCTATGATGATTGAAAAAAACCTGTAATGACAGTAAAAACAACAACAACAAAAGAAACCTGATTCAAAAATATAAAGGAATGACCCTTTATAGACACAACCAAAGTCTAATTTGGAGTCAAACAAAAGATGCAGATTAGAAGGTCCTGCTGTAGGCCTCTGAAATTACAAAGAATGCTGCCGTGATCAAGAAGCGTCGTATGGCCTAATAAAACAAGGGCAGCCACTTTGGAGAAAATATGACATCTATTTAAAAAGTGTGTAATTAGTTAACAAATTATTTTTGAGACAGGTTCTTGTTCTGTAGCCCAGGCTGGCCTCAAACTCATGGTGATCCTTCTGCCTTAGCCTTTTAAGTGTTGGGATTACAGGCCTGGACTTTAGACATCTGAGGAGAGCATGTGTGTACCATATGAAAAGATTTTCTGTTCCCATGTAATCTACGTTTATTAGATAATTTTCTCAAAACATTGTTGCAGCTCCACAATCTGAAATGTCACTTACGTGTACCACTGATTCTATTATCTGACAAACACCCCAAAGACTTCAATCTCCTGTTTTTGAGTCAGTCTGTAGTGTACTAGTAAGAATTTTAGATATTTTAATGCTCTAGTAAAGAGCATAATACTAACGTATCACCGGAAAGAATATAGCAGGCATACATAATGTGCAAAAGGTCAAAAGGCATTAACTGGAAAACCCTCCCTGTTCTGGAGGCGGAGATTTGTTCTACAAAGCCTTCTGTCATGCCAGTGGCCAGCAAGGCGAGCTGGAGTTTTTTTCCTTCTTTCTCTCTGTGACATGTGCTCAAGTTGCAGCGGAAAGGAAATGTGTCATCTGTGGTTTGGTTTTGAAAGTGGAAAGCTAGTTGTACGTACCCTTTTTTGTTGCAGATTTACTTTACATTTTGTATTTTCCAAGTCTACTCTACTTTAAATCAGAAGACAGAAGAAGAAGTGGCTTAGTAGAATCACATTATCAAACCTTGACCAACCATTTTGTAAGGTAGGTCATATATAGATTTCCTTATGTCATTTTGCTTGTAACTTTGTTCAAATTACCATGTAAGGAAATATTTTTTAAAAATAAGTAAAAATCTCACTTAATAGTAACAGTAGAATTGAAGTGATTAAAATGTATTTTTTCTTGTTCTATATGTAAGATCATGTAAATGATGTAAACAGAAAATGGAAAGATTTATGACTATTAACATGGAGGTTTAAATGAGAATTAGGGAAGATCTAAATTTGACTTTATAAGTGAATTAAAAAGTTTTGTCATTTAAAATGTTTAAAAAATTTATTTTAAATTTTATTGAAATGACCAGAGATAAACATTTGATACTACAACCTAGCCTCTTATGGCATAAGTTAGAGCTATAAAAGAGCCTTTAACTCCCAAGCATTTATCCTGGTAAGAGTCTCATTTTGTCATCAGTTTGTTTATCTGGGCACAGCAGTACATCTGGCTGGAGACAATCAACAGCGGGCCTATTATCTGGCCCATGGTATGCACTACAAAACTGTGTGCGAGTACTGTAATGTATACCACATTGTTAATGAACTGATGTGGCAAGAATAACCCACTTTAAATCATTTTAGCACGCAATGCAAAAGTCCATTCTAGCATAAAATGTTGGAAAATTTCTTTTTTGACATAGAATCATAAAATATCCAAAGATTTATAATATTTAACTTAAAAACTGAAGCTGAACATTACTCAGTATACTGTCTCTTTGATGGTTTATTAAAGGTCTTAATCCAAGAAGTAATCTTGATTCTAGAACCGTTAATAAAAGTTTTTTCACTTCTTTACTGTTAACTATTACTTGAGAGGTTTCTAATTAGCATTATTTATTGTATCATGCTTTTGTTTGTAACTCAATATTATCACTTTGCAATTCCAAATTTATTTCAACAGTATAAAAATATAATATTTAATAACATAATATACTTATATAATAACTTAAATATTAGTATAATAAATATACTAATATTTCATATAATATATAATAATATCATAATTACTTAAAACTCTGATGCTCAAAAACATACCTACCAGGGTAGCATCTGTGTCACTTGGGAGATTAGAGATACAGAACCTCAGGTCTCACCTAAAAACTGACAAATCCAAATCCATACTGATCAAAAAAAAAAGGAGGGAAAAAAACCCAACTCTCCCAGGCGTGGTAGCCCACACCTGTAATCCTAGCACTCAAGAGGCTGAGACAGGAGGATCCTTGCAAATTAGAGACGAGCCTGGGCTACAAAGTGAGTGTAAGGCCATCCTGAACTGCACAGTGAGACTTTGTCTCAAAAAAAAAAAAAGAAAAAAGAAAAAAGTAAAAACCCAACTCTCATACACATTAAAGTTTGAAAAGAATTTCTATAAGATGTGCAGACTTCTTAATCAGGTGATTTTATTTAGTAAGTCCCAGAACAATCTAGTTTTTACTTATAATTCTCTCAAACAAATGCTAACAATAAAATACACATATAAAAGTAAGAAAAACTGACGTTTATTATAAAAGAGATATCTCATTAAGGGTGATAAATCTTTTCTGGTGGGTTAACAGTACCTGGAACAGATAATTTCAGTTCTATTTAAGTGTTTCTAATCACATGGTAGATAATAAGAATTAGGAAAGAACCTGACTCATTTTGGTACTGGCTTCTAGGAAGCTTTGATCCAAAACAAATGTTAATTTTTGTTATTACTATAGCTAGGGACTGAACCAGGACCTTGTGCATGCTAAGTATATGCTGTACCCCTGAGCTATAGTCGCTAAACAGCAACTTTTTGAATCATATTTTGGGATATTTATAATCTGCCACTTACTTCTAAGTCCCCAAGATCCTGGCGCTTTATTTCTTCCCATTTAATGATAACAAGTTTCTTTTTAGAATTATGCCAAAATCAAAAAGAAATTCTAGTTACAAAGTGATTTTTTAAAAAGCCAACTTTTGTTGAATTTTTGAGATTCAGAAGAAATCTGCTTCTTTTTCTTTGTTATGTCAGATATATTTTTAGGTTGAGAAAATAAGCATTTCCTCACATTTAGAATATCACGGTTAAGTCAGAAAAAAATACAGGAGAAGAGAGAACCACCACAATAAAACTGTTTTCACAAATGCTGGGAATAATTTTTTAGTAGTGTTTTACTCTAAGCATCAAAATAACCCCAAAGACTAACAAACGCCTCAAATTCCTATTTGAAGTTTCTTTTCTTTCAAGTTTCTGCCAAACTCTGCTATCCTCCTTTAAAAAAATGAAACAAAATTTTTTAAAAATGTCACTTGCATTTCTTTTTGTACATGAACTGAAACTTTCAAGGCCACATTTTCCTTTATTACAGATGTTAGCTAGAAGGTGGGGAGTTTCAGCAAGAAATGGTTTTTCTTTTCTTTAAATGAGGAATCAAAAGAGTAAAAGCAGAAGTTTCTGACTCAAAGCTGAAGTCCAACACAGTTTAAAGGAGAAAAAACATACAAACCCACTGTGTACAGTTTGAAATGATAATAGATATTTATAATGTTAATTTATAGCATCCAAAAGTACAACAGACATTACAATGCTTATGTAAAATCTAAGAATAGAAAATAATTCAGTTCAGAATAAACTCAATAGTGAACATTGGGCATGAACTCGCAGTTTACTTATAACATTTCAACTGTCTCTTTTAACTATAATTACCAAAACTCCAAATCATTATTCTTTTACAGATTAACAAATGACACTACTGTTCCAACAGATTACCAGTACCCTCATCGACATGGAACACACAGGATGTTACTTGAATCTTGCCTTTCTAATGACAACAGTTTTTTCTTTGTCTTCTGGAACAAAAGCAAACTCTACACATCTGTGGGCTAACAATACTACTGCCTGGGATTCTGTTATTCAAAACAATACAGGCAGATACCAAAATGAAAACAGTAACACAAGCCCTGTGACTCCTGGAATGGATTATAAAGTTAATTTGACCAAGCTTCCTGAAACAGCAGCATCATCTTGGGTTGTACCTTTAACTCCTAAATCTGAACAGGAGCATTACACACCTTCTATTGATACTAAAAGTTATTCAACAGCAGAAAGCATTGAAAACACAAGCAAAAGTCACGGTGAAATTTTTAAAAACGATGTCTGTGAGGAAAAGACCAACAACATGGCTATACTAATTTGCTTAATTGTAATTGCAGTGCTCTTTCTTATCTGTATTCTTCTGTTTCTATCAACTGTGGTCCTGGCAAACAAAGTCTCATCTCTCAGACGATCAAAACAAGTGGGCAAACGTCAGCCTAGAAGCAATGGTGACTTTCTGACAAGCAGTGGGCTATGGCCTGCTGAATCAGACACTTGGAAAAGAGCAAAACAGCTCACTGGGCCCAATCTCATGATGCAATCTACTGGAGTGCTCACAGCTACAAGGGGAAGAAAAGATGAAGAAGGAACTGGAAAACTTACTAATTAAGAGATACTTTGGGGAAGAAAAATGCAAAGTAGCAATGAGAAACATTTTGAGTATAAGCAGAAGGCAGCATGGTATTTAATGCGGGCGCACTGTGCTCACCTCAACAGTATCTATACCAATCGGCACGCTGGTCAGTGACTTAGCATCAAAAGGGAGATGGGTGCCTGCTTATTCAACTGCTTAACTGTGTGTTTCTATTTGACACACACCAACCAAGCACACAACCAAGCATTTGGGGAAGTTCTTGTAACTCAGTTGAGGAAACTAAGTGAGGAAAGAAGAGATAGCAATGGTTAATTAAACATTCTCTATTCAGCAACAGTAGTCAGATGATCTTTGTCTGAATGTAAGTGAACTTTGAAGCCTTGGTAGGTCCTTTGAGCCAAGTGCATGCTTCAGTATCTAAGAGAAGTCAAATTTCTAGTAATTTAAAAGTACCTTCTTTGTTGGATATGGCTAAATCCATACCTGCTCATGTATCACTGCAACTAACATTAGGGTACATACAGCACATATAAGGAAGTACTTTTCTACTATAAATATTAAAACTTAACTTTGTCTAATAAATTAAAACTCATTAGATAAGCCTGTGATTATATGTGTGTTAACTTCATTGTCTTACAATATACTGTAAAGATCAATCAGATGCAATACCAGTAAAATATAAGAGATTTACAGCTATACCAGGTCAAGCAAAAATGTAAAGTATGTTTTACTATTTAAGAGTAACATTTATCATTTTTCATAATTTTGGGCTTTCTGAATTATTTGTTTTTGTATTTTGAAATGAGGTGTTAACAGGTTACCCAAGTTGGACTCAAATTAATGGTCTGAACCTGGATAACTTTTCTTTTTCTTCATTTTTTGGTAACTGGGGATTGAACTCACCTCATGCTTGCCATGCAGGCGCGTATGCTGCTGAGCTAAATCCCTTGCCAGACTCAAATTCATGATCTTCCAGCATCAACCTCCTGAGTAACTGAGATTAAGTACAAGAGTAAGCCACTATGGCTGGCTTTTACAAAAATACTGCATTTCAGAGCACTGATAACAAATAAGGTTGGTTAACATTTGGACTTCAAGGATGCCAAGGGCCTTAACTAATGGCCAATTTTATTCTTTACTATCCAACACGACATGAGCAAAGAAGAGGCAAAATTGGGTGTAGTGGTGCATGCATGTAATCCCAGCACTTGGGAGGCTGAGGCAGGAGGATCACTGTAAATTTGAGGCCAGCCTGGGCTACATAAACTTAGTTCAAGGCCAGCCTGGAATACATAGTGAGACCCTGTCTCAAAAAAAAAGGGTGGGGGGAGGCAAAGGTGTTTGTGTTTCAGCATGTCCATTTAAGTGTTTATTCAAGATATGGAAATAGGGATCCTCAAGTGATTTCCTAGTCTTAATGAAACTGACTTCAAGTAAAATAATGAGTTACATTCAAATCATGATTTTCAATTAAATATATTACAAAAATTGGTTTGAAGTCAGATACAGTGGTGCACGCCTATAATCCCAGCACTTGGGGGGCTGAGGCAGGAAGATTACCACAAATTTGAGGCCAGCCTGGACTACACAGTGAGTTCAAAGTCCAGTCTGGACTACAAAGCAAGACCATGTCTCAAAAAAAAATTGCTCTGAGAGACTATCCAAATATATACTGAAACTGAGAGAGGGCATTTATTAATTAAAGACTAAATTATACTTTCTTTAAAAAATCCATCTCCTAATAAGAGTCTGTGCAACATGTTAGTAATTTAAGAAAAGATCATGACTGTAATCTTACTATCTCTTCTTGATTAGTGGCTTTCACCCTGGCTAAATATCAAAAATTACATGAAGAAGTTGCCTGATTTCCATGTCTTCCTGATTCCCGCTAGAATAGGGTTAGTTCTAGGGACTGCAACTTTTATATCACTTCCTAGACAGCACTGCTTTTGGCTATCAAATTCACTCTAGTTGTGTCTTAAAATGGGGAGGACACACAATTTTATTATCAGTTTACTGAAGCTCAGCAGCACAGCATCTGCCTGGGAAGTGCAAGGTTGTGAGATGTTTCTTAGTATCCCAAACAACAATAAATGAAACAAAAAACAACCCCCGCCAAACAATGATTCCCTAAACACTAAATCATAGCCATATTATCCCAGATAAAGCTAATGTGAACAAAGTAAAAAGAAAAGCATGAGAACAATCCTAGCAACATCAGGTTATCTTCTGAGCGATAAAATGGCCCAAACTGGGGCTGGGTACAGCTCAGCGGCACAGCACCTGCCTGACAAGCACAAGACCCTGAGTCCAATTCCTGGTATCAAAAAAACAAAAACAAAAACAAAAACATAAGACCCAGATTAGGAAGGACTCTGGGAAGTGCTCTCAAATTAAAAATCTGGGAGCATGCACTGAAACACAGATGTAAATCTTCTTTGAATCAATTGTCACAAATAAATACATGTCAGAGGAGACTAAAATAACCTAGCAATAAAAGTAAGAAATTAATCAGTAAACTAATTTCATATTCAACACACTGGTCATGCATTTTTTCCAGGGATATTTAAATTTCATTATTCATTACATGGGCTCCTAACACATTCTCAGTCTAACATTGAATGAGAGATCACAAACTAAGAAGAGGTTCCTTCTAAAACTTGACAGGTATTTAAAGATGATAGATAAGATCTCTGACTTCAAAATTGTAAAAAACACTTTTATTTTTTGTCTCTTGGTATTATGGTTTACCTCAGGGATTTAAAAGTAGTCAAAATTTTGTAACATTTTGGTTTTATTGTTACTCTTTTTGTACTAACTTTTAAATACCTTGAAATTAAGAGTCATGATAATCTATGTTCCTCTGCAGGGACCAGTGGAAAGGAGAACATACATTGATATTTACATTATCTACTATAATTCACCCTATGCAAGGCACTTCGTATTTGTTTAATCTAGTATTAAATTTACATATTAGGAATTACAATCTCCATTTGTTTTAGATAGGTAAGGTGACTTGCCTAAAAGAACTTTTACTCAGACTCATATTCTTTTCAGTATACTTTGCTTAGGTAATTTTTTATTTAGAAAAGTATTGTGAGGCAGGAGTGTGGCATTCACTATACCCTGGGTTAATCCCAAGCACAGAAGGAAAAAAAAAAAAGCAAAGTATTCAGTGAAAATAATTTAACTCTGCCTTTACCCAGGCTTATGAAATGAGGAAGTAACATAAATATTTACTGGTTACCTATTGTATATGAGGCATTTATAGATATTATTTTATTTAAAACTCAATAATCTAACAAAGGAAACATTCATTCAGAGAAGGAAATGGCGACTCAGAAGTGCAATAACTCACCTAAGGTCATACAAATAAACAGAACACAAAATTTACTTCCTAAAATAAGGAATTTCAGTGGGGTAGAGTAGCGTATGTTGTAAACTCAAACACTGGGGGTGCTCAGGCAGGTTTGCAAATTCAAGCCTAATCTGACTTTCGGTAATTTACTGACTTTCGGTGGCCCTGTTTCAAAATACAAAATAAAAAAAGGGCTCAGGATGTAGCTTAGTACGAAGCCCGTGGGTGGTTAGGAGAGTTTCACTATAGGTAGTAACCAAATGGTGGCAGATTTTCCTTTAAATACGTAATTTCTTCTTCAGGGCTCTATTCTAAATATTTAAGTTACATAATTATAGTACTAGAAGGTCTCAAAAGTTTACTTACAAATATTAGTTAACAGTACTCAAATCACATACATTATGTTTCAAAGTAAAGTCTGTTAAAATAGTACATTTCTTAGTCATCTTGTGGCTTATTGCACTTCCGGTAACAGCTATTGATAAACTTCCTCTGTTGGACAGAAACCATTTCAGTGTGCCAGAAGGACCATGTTTAATCTGAATTGAACCACCCCTTTTACTTTCTTAGCCAAATCACCAACACGTCCTGTTAAAGCAAGAATTTAGCATTCTGCGAAAGAAGTTAACAGGTAAGAATATTTTCCCATAGGCCATCTGGTTTAAATTTTGCTTTATATAAAACTTATTTTTAAAACTAAAGCATCATTGCTGTTTTAAACTTAAACTCAATTTTTCATAGTTTAAAGATGTCTATGTCAGGTTTTTGTGGATTTACTGCATGGAATTTTTAAAAAGTTCAATGTTGCACTTGCCTTAGAGAAAGATTTTCATCTAGGTTTTTATAAGGCTTTTAAAGTTTACTTAGTCAAAATGTTTATTTAATTTTGTATTTAAAAAAAAAAAAAAACTACTGCCATAGCAGATAAAGCTAAGGGCTAAATACAAAGTTATATTCCACGGGCTATGACTCAGTTTAAAATGTTCAACTATTAACTGTTAAAAATTTTAGGGGCGAGGAGTGTAGCACAGTGGTAGAAAACTTGCCCATCATGCATGAGACTCTTGGTTCCATCCCTTGCACTTGGAAAACTTTATTTTTTTTAACCCTTTTAGCTTCATTGTAAGAGTTGTCACTTTCACCGAAAGAAAAAAAAAAAAAGAGGGAAGATGTGGTACCCAATTATCATTGTTTGTTTATTTATTATTAATTTTTTTTGGAGACAAGATCTTGCTATGTAGTTCAGGCTGGTCTTGAACTCACTAGGTATCCCAGCCTGACCTCAAATTCACAGCAATCCTCCTGCTTCAGCCTTCCAAGTTCGGTGTGCACCACCACACTTGGCTGTTTAATTTTTTTATACAAACAAAATTTCATATTTAATAATAACACGAAAATATTATAGTTCATTTTAAAAGCTTCCTAAGACAGAATGTTATAAAATATAAACACATATTCACATCATGTACAGTTTCTTCCCTGAGCCTTCAGTAGAGTGTATGATACAGGCAAAAAATCTACAGAACAAATAATAGAAAACTGTTAGTGTACATAGAAGATGCTTACTCTGTGAGAAAAGTACAAAACTACAAAGTGAATTTGTCTTCTAAATCAAAAAAATTCGCTAGGTGTGGTGGCACACACCTGTAATTCTCAACACTTCAGAAATCTTTACGACTTTCTCTTACAGCAGTCCATTTCAGATTTTGTCTTGCTTAACATTAAAGAAGCCAGAAAATAAAATTTTAATTGCTGTTTAGTCTAGCCTCAAATTTAAAGTTTATAATTGTGTCTGTATTTCAACTTGTAACTCCTGTGTAATTCTACTGAGAATTACCAATTCTGAACAACTTGGGGTTTGCTAAACATAAATCTCATGCCTTTCAATGTCCATTCTTTTAAAAAAGCTACAAAATTTTCAGAAGCTTACTCAATATGACAGCTTACCATTCCTGTAACTGTTTTCACACAGTCACAGGACTAACTTGAGTGTTCTAGTACTTCTTTTAGTGCCCTTTATGCAACCCTGTCTCCAAGCATTGCTTACTTACTTGCTCCCAAAGAACTCACATCTCCTTACTTTCAAAGCCCTTCTATGCTACAAGACGCAGCACAGCACACAATGGAAAGGGCTCCGGTACAAGCCTGGGATGATTTCTCCATCAGTGCCACACTACTTGGGGCTATGACATTTTGCTAAATTACTCAACTTCTCTGTTCTGTTTTCTTATCTATGAGAGAAAAAAGTGACCACCCACAGGATTAAAACAGGAGAGTGCCTGGCGGGTTTTAGATCTTCAGAAAACAGTAGCTAACACTAGTGATAAAAGATGGCCATCAACTATTACTCTTGGCAGCTCGAATCAATTTCCTTTTCTGTTCTTCCTCAAAATACAGAATTGCTGTTTTCTTCCTTATATAGCTTCAAAATTTCACTAGTTTGAGGTAATACAACTACTAAATTTTAATGTTTGCACTATAACTTTTATTACATCAAAGAAACTGGAAATACAGGTATAGTGGTTTTTGGTATAGCTCACTATAATTGTCTTCTAATCTTAAAATATGGTCCTCAAAACTCCTTGATTCACTTTAAAAGATAATGGCACATTTCCTAACATATCCAACCTTTCAGCATTTATTTTAAATGCAGGATCTTTTTATGCACTTGTACATTATATTTACATAACCTTGTGTAACACATGGAGACTCCTATTTCACTGTAATTGCCTTTAAAATGCTTTTTAATAGGGGCTGAGGATTTAACTCAGCGGCATAAGCGCCTGCCTTGCAAGCAGGCAGTCGTGAGTTCGATCCCCAGTACTGATAAAAAGGAAAAAGACAAAAGACAAAAAAAAAAAGAATGCTTTTAATTAAAAGTATGTTTTTCTTTTTTTAAAAAAATTCTTTAAAATTGGGGAAAATCAAAGGATAAAAACCACAGATTTAAACCTCAAAGTGGTATCCTAAAATAATGAGTAAAATGTTGCATATGAAGATGTGTAGATTAAAGGTTTTCTAGAAAAATTAAGCCTAAGATGTGTATACACGGATTCACTGGAGTAATTGACAGCTATGCTTCTTGGACAGTGCCAGGAAAGTGGGAGAGAAGGAAGGAGGGGGAGGGAGAGAAAACTAATCTTTAGGACACTTACAACAGACAGGAGAGCTTGCGAAGTAGCAGGGTTCATTAAATTTCCACATTCTGGACAGACCATTCCTCTTTGCTGGTTCCCACACCCACACAGGCCAGTATCAGGGAGCAGCATTTGGCAACTGCTTCTTTTGTCTACTTAATCTTTCCAGTTTCATTTTATTAATTTTAATCATTGGTGGTAACTTTTTTACTAATTATACACTTACACCACTAGTTTTCCCCAGATGTTTATTAACTTTCTTTTCAATACCTTTTTTAGTCAATTAATCTTCCCTTTTCCATATATTTATTGCTTCCTGTCATTCATTTTTTGCACTGCCTTTTTTTTCCATCTTATTCTATACTTCCTTGTCTTCTAATTTCCCTGTCCAATACTGTTCTTTGTCACCACTTCATTTCCCTACAAAAATAATGTATCCTTCAGGTACCCACCACTTACATATTTAAAAACACGCATGTTTTCATTCTCTGCTGATAGCAACACTGGCTTCCCATCTATGGAAAAGGGGAAGTCTTTCCCCACAGTTATATTCCCTACTTCTTTTAAATTTTGTTGCTTCTTTTATGCACTATTCTGAACAGATTCTAGTATTCTGACATAGCAGATTCTAAAAGGGTAACCCGTGAACTGATGAGTGGAGAAAGCAGTAGAATATGTAAAAAAATATAATTTGGTTTTAACATGTCTGTAACCTTTAGAAGACAAGTGAAACAAAAAAAAAAAAAAAAAAAAAAAAACAAGTGAAAATCTCACGTGATGTTCTATGAACTTTATATTGACATATGAGGCTATGAACCTATCATAATTGATCTTACAAACTAAACTGGGTTCATAATTAGGTTCCTGCTTAGGCTTTTTCTTCCTTTACTGCCTTTTTCAGCTAACTAAAAGAAGGAACTATATGGTTTCTTTACTTTAAGCAAAGTCACAAAAGAAAAAATACTTTTGGCTATAGACAATTCACAGCCTGTATCTTCTGTTATTTTGGAAAGTGGTTACTAAAAACATTTAAAAAATAAAATACTGAAGAACAGTATTTTCTAACAAAGTGTATTTCTTTGCTATCTATAAAGATACAGATCCCTATATCTATGCAAAAGTTTTAAAAATTTCTCTTTTAAACATTTTGCAAAATGGATTAAAACCAAAATTTACTTAATTTTACCTTCTTTGATTTCTTTTAGTAGAATTCTTATTTCAATTTGTTTATTTGTAAATCAAGGAGCCATTCCTCATAGAGCTCTTTAAAGGTCAAATTTAAATAAAATATGTAAAGCATCTGGGAAAGTACAACACCTAGTGCATTCTAAATAAGCATTCTTCTTTGTTTCTTTCTTCCTTCTTCAAAGTTCTTTATAATCTTATGAGGAGATGGGAAAACCAAAAAGAATATGTGACAAGCTAAGTAGTTATTTAAGAGACTAGACATAGGAGTGAGGTACTTATAGAACAGTTACCTAAGGAGCCACACAGACTATGAAGCCTGAAGAGTCTGACTCACTCACTCTTTGGGCTATGGTCAGTCAGAGAACTTGCTTCAAGAAGAGAGACTATACATGGAGGTCTGTACGATGAAGACAGGCCCACATAGCTAGTCAGAAGAGGGAAGAGGGTAGACTTGGGAAAAACATTCTGAGAGGGTACAAAATAGCAGTTTAAAAAGGCTCTTTACGGAGAAAAGTTTTTGTTTAGAAATCATGCAAGGAAGAAAACTAACTTTAGAAGTTTTACCTGGGCAGTAATGGGGAGGCCTCTAGCGAGGGATTATTAGTCAGATGCTTTCAAGAGCAACTCAGCACAGGAAGCAGCCTAACAGAGGACGCTGTCAAATTTAGGCTGGAAGTATTAAAGAGAAACACACAAGAAGAGACAAAACAAGGATTTTTTCCTTCTACTAAAACAGGGTCATTTATCATCATTGCTCTACTAGATGGAAAGGGAAAAGCAAACTACTCAAATAAGGTGAAAAGTGTATTCATTTTAAAAATCTTTTACTGTACCTTGCAATGAAGCATCGAATTCCTCGTAGATAATCTATTCCCTCACAGAAAAACTATGGTTTCTTGTCATGTGTACGAGGATTTAACACCCTGATGACATGCAAAACAAGTGTATTACACTCAGCACTACAAGTTTTCTTAGTATAACTTCTTACTCTTAAAGATAAAGCAATTAAGAACAGGAGAGACGAAGGGACTGGTTCGCGTGCTTAGACAGGCATTTAGGTGGCACGTGTTTATGTAAAACATGGAATTTATCATCTGTTATATTCCATGAAAGGCCTTATCTGCCATACCTATAAATGTGCCCCCCTTTTCCATGCTTGTATGTTCTTTCTGGCTAGAATATTTATTTGCTTAATTAGTTCTTACAAATTAAGGTTTAGTTCCAGTTTTACGTCTCTGGCTAAGCTTCCCTGCAGCTCTCCTATACTAGATTAGTTCCTCTGGATACCTCCAAGTATCCCTTTGAGGAAAATCACCAAGTCAATATTATTTTTTACATGTTTATTTCTACCCCAAGAAATCCACAATACCTGAAGCCATCAACCTTTCCTTTTTACCCCCTTCCTCTTCTTAATAGCCTAATCCCAGAACAGAGCCTGACACAAAGACAGTGCTTACCAATACAAGAACAGAGGTAGCAGAAGGCACACACAACAGGCTAAGGCTGACTTCAACTGATTCAAAGTCACTCTATGATTCTGAGATGAGGACTGAAATGGAACCCTTCTATGAATATGGGCCATTTAACATACTGACAGAGTTAGACACCATGGATGCTGTGAGGGTTAGCGACACTCCACACTCTTTTAAGAGAAAAAAGATAAAAATGACAAGGTTCTAACATTTAGGTGGCACACATTTAGGTAAAACATGGAATTTAGCTCTTCAAAATTTATCACCTGTTATATTCCATCAAAGGCCCTACCTGCCATACCTACAAATGTGCCCCCTTTTTCCTTTCATGATTTCTAAACATGATTTGAAAACAAGTTCAAAACAAGTTAGTAGGACACCTGCATTAAGTAATACATTGTGTATTGCTGTCTTTCTAACAGTTACTCAGAGGACAAGACATAGACATGATATTATGTCCAAACAATATTAGTACAAACCTTTATTTCAATGAACTAAGAGAAACCAGCCGTATAACTACTTAACTGTCTTATGTGTACATGTATTTGTTCTTTTTCCCCTTTCTTCCTTTCCTCTATTTTATATTTGTCTTTTCTTCTGAACGGTTTCTTCCCAATCCACAATATTATTGTACAGTTTGGATCTCATTTACTCATTCGGTTTCTCACACTAGTGACACACTACCATGTTTACATATACGGGTCACTCTACACACCAATCTTGCTATGACTAACAGAAAAACAAGTTGGCAAGTGTGCATGCATGTGTGTTTTGAGTTTTACACTCAGGGCGTTCCCACTGAGATTTCATCCATCTCTTCCTCCTCTCTCCCTCCCCTCTCCCCCACCCCTACTTTGAGACAGGGGCTCACTAAGTCACTAGTCTCCCAGGCTCGAACTTCTGATTGCTAAGGATCAGTCCTGAGGTAAAGATGAATTCCATTTTAAATACTCTGAATTGATTGGTAGTGGGATACACACACACACACACACACACACACACACACACGTATATAAAATGTTCACCAAAAAAATCTACAAATGTAATTACAACAAATAAATTTAGGCTGGATACACAGGTCTAGAAGTTATAGCTGAAAGGTGAGAATAGAAATTTTATACAATCAGAGATAAGCGAGATGGGAATCAATTAAACACTAAGCATCTATATGTATGAAACGGGAAAAGAACTAATGAAAGTGACATGAAATGCAGGCACGGTGGTGCACACCTGTAATCCCAGCACTTGGGAGGCTGAGGCAGGATGACTGCTATGAGTTCAAGGCCAGCCTGGGCTAAATAATAAGTTGAAGGGCCACATGCAAGATCTCATCTTAAAAAAAAAAAAGTGATACGAAAGTAAGACTATATTATAAAGAGCTACACAAAATACCAGGTGAAGGAATAGTCAAATGTTCAAGAGAAGTAAAGGCAACTGGAGTAAGGAAACAGATGAACCCTGGTATTTTCCAAAGTGACAAAATAAAGACATTTCTGGTATTTCACTAGACAGTGAGCGAGTGAAGAGCACACAGACTCAGCATACTGAGCCTGTCCACCTGACAAGCATGAGTGACATGAGTGACGTAAGGAAGCTGGGGCCTGGGGACCACAGGGCTTATTAACAAGTTAGGGTCCTTCCCAGGAAGTCCGAATGCTGTGTGATGACTTGGCAGTGTATTCAACAATTATTACATTAGCCTCTAGCGTGTCAAGCATAATCTAGAGTAAATACTAATCAGGCACCTACCTGTTTTATGCCAGACATCATAATGAAAAAGTCAAATGTAACTAGACAGCAAGTGACAACTGTCTTTTTCTCTTTCTTTTATAATAAAACCACCGTTAGGAAGAAAATATTCTGAAATGGATCCCAAATATTTCATCTTAACTTTGTTTTTTGGATACCCGAACAATATGTTTTTCACAAACACAGAAACAATTACAACAGAGACGACACAATCTACTTTATTTACATCACCAATGTCATTCATCTCAGCTAATTCTCAAAACACAACAGGGAATGCTTTGGGTCAACCAACAGATTTCAGTAACACTTCTCCTGGACAACTATCATCCGCCAAGACTGCTAGACAATCAACACCAACTATTTCTGTCTCTTCTGAAAAACCAACAGCTCATATTTCTGCTAGGCAACTTGCCTATAATATCACCAGACAACCAATTCCAACAGTCAACATCTCCTTCCCATTGACAGCATTGCCTGCATTCACCCCTGCCAGAGAGCTTCCATCTTCTGCCCACACTTCTGTCAGACAACCACCAGCACCATCTGTCTACCCTTCCACTAAACAACCACCATCAAATATTCACACTTCTTCTGGAAACCCAGTCCTATCAACTGCTGGTAATCTATCCACATGGCCAATATCGACAGTCAAAAACTTACCTAAGAACACACCAGGATTCATTTTAGAAACTACTAAAGACAAAGAAGTTATTAAAAAAACAGATTATAGTTCAACAGCTGGCATATTAGTTGGTACAATTCTGACTTTTATGTTGGTAGCTATAATCATGATTGTACTATGGAAATGCTTGAGGAAACCTGTTTTAAATGATCAAAATTGGGCAGGCAGGTCTCCATTTGCTGACGGAGAAACCCCCGATATGTGTATGGATAACATTAGAGAAAGTGAACCTTCCACAAAACGTACATCAATTATTTCACTTATGCCTTGGAAACCAAGCAAAAGTGCACTTTTAGCAGATGACTTAGAAGTTAAGTTGTTTGAATCAAGTGAAAACATTGAAGATGCCAACAACACAAAAACAGATGAAAAAAAGGGTAAAGTAAATGGTACATCAGAGGACAGTGCTGACAGGTCAACCATCGGCACTGCTGTTTCCTCTTCGGATGACACGGATCTGCCTCTGCCACCTCCCCTTCTTGACCTGGAAGGACAGGAGAGTAACCAATCTGACAAACCCACGATGATCACTCTCTCTCCTCTTCCAAACGACTCTGCCAATCTTCAGCCATCTCTGGAAGGTCTAAATCAAGCCTGTGAAGATCCTAACTCTGATACTGACCAATCGTTCCCATTGCCCCCTGAGTCATTTAACTTGCCTTTGCCACAAGAAGATTTTATAAAAAGTCAGGAAGATTCCAATGAGATTCAGTGTCAGGAATTCTCTATTCCTCCTGAATCTGATCAAGATCTTAACGAATTCCTGCCGCCACCACCTGCAGAACTGTTATAAGTATTACAATTTGCTTTCTAGCCGAACTTCTATCCTTAAATGTCTCCATCCCTTGTTTTTCATGGGATAAAGTACATAAAATGATAAATGGTAATCAATTTTGATTTTTGTTCAGGAACTATCTGAAATCTGCTTAAAACTCATGTGTGTAAGTGTAATTTAAAAAATTATTTTAACAGTAATGTACTTACCAGCTATTGTTCCCTATCTTTCAAGTACAGTATATTTTACATGTGTGGATGCTATATATGTCAATAACTTAAACTTTTTGGAAACAAGTACTCTACATATACCTGTTACCCAATACGTTTTTCTGTGAAGTGCTATGTATACACTTACTCTGAATACATAAAATTGTATTTTTCCATTTCAGAGTGTGAGGTGGTAGGAAAAGAGATTAAGCAAATACTCTCAAATTTCAAGTTAATAGTTCATGTGCTAAATAAATATTCCAAATTTATGGGAATGAGAGATTAAAATGCATGTTCAAAGAAGGAGAAGTTTTTCTATTTTGTCTCACTGGCAATAGTAAGATAAACACATTAAAACATCAAACTGGAGGGATGGGTTGAAAACACCCTGAAAACAATATAAATATGTATAATAAAAGGCAGACATTTTCCTATTAAGTTGGGGAGGACAAACTTTAAAGCTGATTTATTTTAAAAATCTCTTCTTTTTATGACTTGGTACCCAAACAAAATGACATCTTGTGAAGAAAGGGAGGGATAGAAGGGAAGACTTACTTTGCCACTACACATTTGATTTATTTTAAAAACTTTTTTTTAAATATAGAATTTCATACTTTATCCACCACCTGTTAACTGATAAATGTGAGATACTAGAGTAGAGCTGGGTCCAACCTTGTCACAGTGGAGGCAGAGAATGGTCACAATGGATACAGACACTAATCTGTAACAACATAAGTGTTTCTTTGCCCAAGAAACACACATTTTCCCTTCTTATCCCCACCTTAACTCCAAAGAAAGGGTCCTTTAGAATGAAATAGCCTAGCCTTATTGGTAGCTTAGCCTTACAGAACCTCTTAGTTCTAGAGTTTTCAAAACAGATTGTAGCATTTATTTGTAGCAATAGTGCTCAAGAAACTGACAATGCCCCACCTGTAATACAAGCCAATGGGTTTCCGGACATTGAAAGTTTATACACAATGCTTGCTCTTAGTCTTCAAAGCCATACCTTACTGACTGTCTTAGTTACTATTGTCTTGTTGCTGAGACAAAATACCCAATGTGCAAAGTTAAAGGGAGGAAAGGTTTTATTTAGCTCACGGTTTGTAGAGGTTTCAGTCCATAATTTGCTGGCTTCAAGGCAAGGTGGCACATGGAAAAGAGGCAACAGTTCATGTTGGTGGAAGACAACAAAAACACAGGAGCAAAAGACAAGGAGCAAGCCTCTTTTCCTCCCTTATACTGTATGCAGGCAACCATCCTATGCTGGGAGTAGGACTCACACTGTCAATCCCAGCACTAGACAATGAACTAATCACCAACTCTAGTTTCAGCTGCCTTCGAAAACCCACCATGACTGCATGAAGCTTTGGAGGGCTATCTAGCTAAAAACTGTAACACTGACCATTAATGCTTTTTATCTGCAGGAGTACTTCCTTGAGCTACTTACTTTTCCTGACTAAGCATGATGTTTATTGGTTCTCTCCTTTCATATTAAAAATGTTTCTCTCATGTATTTTCAAAATTAACATTTTTTGGTGGTTCTAAATATTAAAGCCAGGGCCTCACACATGCTAGATAAGCACCCTAACATTGAGCTAAATTCCTAGCCCTTTATTTTTGAGATAGGATCGTGCCAAATCATCTAGGCTGGCCTTGACTTTGAAATGCTCTTGCCACTGAGATTACAGGCATGTGTCGCAGGCCTGGCTCAAACTTAGCTTTGTTTTTTTGAGACAGGGTCTGGCTATGTAGTCCAGGCTGGACTCACTCTTGTGGTCATCCTGCCTCAACCTCCCAAATGCTAAGACTACAGGTGTATGCCACCGTTCTTGGCTTCAAATTTAGCATTTCCAGACTAATTTATCCAGCAGCAATCAAGAGTTTGACAACTTTTTATTATTCTTTTAAATTTTAAATATTTTAGTTAGGATAAATGATAAACAATGTTGTTGTATTTGGTGAAGTCTTTAACATGCTAGGAATCATCCTAATGCTTCCCATTTCACATATAAAATCATTGCCAAAAGGGCGCTTTCCATATTTTTGCACCATTATCACTACTTCCTTTCCTGAAATCTTATAAGATGGGTATTGGCAAATAACTATCTCGGACAAAAAAAGCAGCTGACAACTGGTCATAGCCTTGTCCAAGTTCTTCTACGTGCAGTTTTCTTCCTTCTGTTCTTTGCACAACAGAAGAACAGACGTGACAGCATCTGGATTTTTGTTTTGATTTTTGCTTTATGAGGAAAGTCTCTGCCAGGGGAAACCTGTTTTCATATTGACAAACTGCAATTTTCCCCTACTGAGATGGGTAGAAACTGAGCAGCCAAACAATGGCAATCCTTGCTTGATTAGCAGGAAGAACGGGAAGTTAAAGAAAGAAATGCTGGAGCAAAAAACATGCTGGAGCAAGCCTGGTGGTGCACACCTGTTAATCGAGGCACTAGGGAGGCTGAAACAGGAGGATCACTGTGAGTTCAGTGCCAGTCGGGGCTACATAGTGAGTTCAAGACTATCCCAATCTATATAGCAAGACCCTGTCTCAAACAAACAAGCTGAAGCAAGGAAAAGTCTGAAGAAAAGATTAAAGAATCAGGATGCAGAATAGTTTCATGAATACAGACAACAAACAGACAAGGTGTGAGGAATTAAAAGCAGACTATTATCACACCACACACCAGTGATGCTCTTGCCAGATTTGCGTTAACTAGATTCATAAACATCCCAGGAGGTAAAGCCAGTTGATCTGCTTAGAAATAGTTCTATGGCTGAGGCTGTTTCTTAATTTGTGGTCTAATACTCTTTCCACTGATACATAACCAAAGAGAATTTAAATTTTGGACTAATACACACATACACCATGAGAATTCTATTAGATGGTGATAGTGGTAGGGACATAACAAATCAGATATCTATCATTGATTATTGTTATTATCTAATTCTGATTTAAAAAACAAAGCATCAAATACTTGGGCATCTATAATAAAAACACTGGCACTGCTACACAATTAACAAACAAATCAATGAAATAATAGAAAGTTCAGAAATACACAAATATCGAATCAGTAGGAAAAAGTGTTGAGACAACTCAATAGACATTTGGAAAACGATAAAATTAGATCCACACTTCACACTACATTAGAACAAATATCAAGCAGACCACAGATCTAAATATAAAACATGAAATCATACATGTAATACAAGAAAATATGGCCGAGTTCCTTTATAATCTGGAAGTTGGAAAATAGCTTTTTAGCTGAGACTCAGAATCTGGAAGCTACAAAACAAAAAAGTTCAATTACATGAAACATTTAAATGTCAAAAACCAACAAAAAAACCCTCTAACATAAAAAATTAGAACACAAATGGTAAAGTAGAAAAATATTAGCAACTTAAATCAAGACAAAGTACTATTATCTCTAAAATTTAAAAAGCTCCTAAATACAAGAGGGGAGATTCACAACACAATAGAAATTGTACAAAACATATAAAAGATAGTCATAGAAAAAATGTAAATGATTCTTTAAAAAACGTAAGATATACAACCTTTCTCATAAAATTAAGCAGATATTTTAAAAGTGCACTAGATGCTGTTTACCAATAGGAGTGATATAAATATAAAAGTTCAACAACAAAGGCTACAGTGAGTTGCTGGCATGACTAGAAAATGGTAAATTCACAAAGAGGAATTTACTAATACCTAAGAAAATCCTAAATGCATTCTTAACTTTTTATCCAGAAATACTACTTCTAAGAAGCATTTCTAAAAACTGACTGGCAAAAACAGAAAATTATCCAGACACAAGGGTATACAATGTGGGACTAATTAATTAATTGTCTTTTTGAGACAGGTCTCACTATGCAGTTGAAGTTGGTCTTGAGCTCATTTTGTAGCCCAGAATAGTCTCGAACTTAACAATACTCCTGCTTTAGCCTCCCAAGTGCTGGGGTTACAGGTGTGCATCACCACACCTGGCTCCTGTGGCATTATTTGTAATAGCAAAAGTTTGGAAACATCTCAGGTGTCCACCAATAGAGGATGGTCAAATACATCATGGTACATTTCCAAATGGAACACCACACATGATAAAATGAATGAGATGGCTTCTTGTCTACTGAGAGGGAATGACCTTCCAGATACATTATTAGAAAAGAAGATATAAAAGGTATATAGTAAATAACCTTTTACATAGGGAGCAAAAGAATATAACATATACACATAAATATATATTTTTATGTGTTTACAAAAAGAAATAGTGTTAAGATTCAACCTAAAGCCAATAAAAATAGCTACCAGTAGGAAGAGAAAGAAAATAGGATTAGAGAGGCCAGAGAGGCAAGATTTTCTTGAATATACCTTATAACACAATTTGATTTGAGTGATTCCTAAAAACTGAAAATTGGCTGAAAAGATGAACCTAAAGTTTTGTTAAGTTCATGATACAGAAATAGAGGAAAGAATCATTTTGAATTGCCTTTGAGGGCCTGGGGATATAGCTCAGCGGCATAAGCACCTGCCTTGCAAGCCTGTGGTCGTGAGTTCGATCCCTGAAATCTATTATAAGAAGAGTTATGCAAAGAAATCTTAAACTTTATTCAGTTGCATGAAATCTACTTGTGTCACCTGCATTATTTTGAAAGTATTGTGGGATGATGCAAATAAGCAATTATTTTAATACTGTCTGAAAACATTTACAAAAGATTTGAGGGACAAAAGATTTGAGGGACAAAAGATTTGAGGGACAAAAGAACAAATTAAATCTTTCCAAAGAAGCAAAAAGATCCAGAATAAACAACATTCTAGAGAAGAACCTGAGAAGGTAAGAGAAGTGGGGCAAGACTAATCCACTTAGATTCTGACATGATAATTTCTATTTTGTCAGTTCTTGTATGTTTTAAAATAGTTTATTGTAATTAAATATTTACAAGTTAAGCATCTTTATCTAAAAGTCCAAAATTGTGTCAGCACTTAAAAAGTTTTGGAATTAAGAACATTTCAAATTTTTGATTTTTAGACTAGTAATGTTCAACTGGTAAAGTCTTATGTGTGCATTCCAAAATTCAAAAAAATTCTAATATCTGAAATGCTCCTATTCCAAAGCATTTCAGAGAAGGATACTGAACCTGTACCAAAAACTGAGAGTACTTATTCCAGATAATTTATGTTATCATTTTAAGAAGTAAAGGGAAACTATGAATTACATGGGATACTCAGCCAAGTATGGTGGTATGTACCTATCATCCCTGCACTCTAGGAGGCTGAGGCAAGAGGACTGTACGTTCAAGCCTAAGGAGAACAA